CACTAAACCAGGAGGAGGAACGTAACGGCACGAGCACTAAACCAGGAGGAGGAACGTAACGGCACGAGCACTAAACCAGGAGGAGGAACGTAACGGCACGAACACTAAACCAGGAGGAGGAAGGTAACGGCATGAACACTAAACCAGGAGGAGGAACGTAACGGCACAAACACTAAACCAGGAGGAGGAACGTAACGGCACGAACACTAAACCAGGAGGAGGAACGCTCGTCCCAAGCTTTGACATCAATCAGATTAATACACGAGAGCAGGAGAAGGAAGATCAGGGCCACTTTTGCAAAAAGGTAGGTCAGGGGTCATGTAATAGACAAAGATTAATGAAATGTATCAGATAAAATGAATAAACATTAAAAAGCCCATAACTCCTCTTTCTTTGGAATTCTTAATATTCAAATGAACGGACCTGAGTTTACTTAACTAAACTAACGTGGCTCAAGGAGACACAGTTAAATACTATTGAAAGATATGTCACTAGATTTGGACAGATGTGGTAATGACATATTACGGTGCAGCCTCTAAAGGTAGTAGACGGAACGGAACGGATGTCTTAACTAATCGAATAAATGATTACATGGATGATCAATCAAATCAACAAGCTGTATAATATTGCAAAATTGCAGACATAATGTAAAGTAAAGTGGTCTCTTGAAATGAAGTATTAAAAAGAGTCAATGACACGAAATACTAAAAAAAGAATTAAGTGTCTTTAATGATATAGGCTACATTTGTACATTTCTACAGCAGACTTTCAGCAAACTAACTGCCAATTAGAAAAAGACAGAGAAAGTTAAACCTGTAACAACTGAAACATTGGATAAGATGTCAAAGGCTGTGAAATTAAATACTCAATGTAAATATTCAGTTCAGTATTTTGTCCCATTAAATAAGAATAAAAAACATTTAATAGTTTGAACAATCAATGTGAAATATAAATTACATTAAAGCACCATTTCAAGGATGAGGATATTAAAATAAATAATTGGCCTTTCCTTATCAAGTCAGAACATGATGGTAATGAAAGGCTGTGCAGTCACACGGAACACTCCTGCCAACCGATGTCACAAGGGTTCAACATACAGTCCGTCGTGACTTCCACAATCTACAGCGAATAACTCTGCTTACAATATAAACATCTATGAATGTGTAGCTCCATCAGCGACAACAAAACAACACGAACTATTGCAGGTGATGCATAACTTATACTTCTGTTCTTTATGTATAATAACAATTAACTCCTTTGAAAAAAATACCAAATAAAAAGGACAAAAGTGGGTTACTCTGTAAGAAGATTGTCAAATTTCTTGAGTAATATCTAAATGTTTCCAACTGGGGGAACTCCCATTAAAAAGACATTGTACAATACCTCAATTCATTGAGCACAACTGGCCTGAAAAAAAACATGCTGTAGTTTCTCCCACTCACTCATCCACATCAGTACTCAAAAGGAGCAGCTGTTAAAAGCTGCAGTTCACATCTTCACCCAGTAGAGCTGTCCTAGAATATATATCGTTTCAGGACCGGAAATCATTTCACTGTACACCGTTCATGCACGAGCCTTTCATTTCATTGATGCACTAATGACTAATGATCTCACTAAAAATCTGGCAGAGCAACAGTCACAGTACAACAACACACTTTACTTTGATCCCTCAAGACTTTCCTGCACACACACACACACACACGCGCACACGCACACACACGCACACACTCGCACAGAGTGAGAAAAGATCTTACTGCGAGTATAAAAAACGGGGGTGAACTGTTTTCAACAGGTGCTTCAAAAAGTCACAAGAACATATTAAAGAACGAGGCACAAAGCTGCCTTTTCAAATCCAACCAAACCAAGTACCAACATTGGATGATGGTGCTCCCGTCTCTGCTGCCATACGTGGTATAGAAAAAGTCATACAGCTATGTTACAGTACAGTAAGAGGGCTTACAGGGCCAGTGAGTTCAAACACCTAGTCACAGATATATTTAATGCTTTGTTTTCTTTATGCACTTTGTATGCATAATTTGGTATTCTCAGCAAATTGTAGTGGATATTTAATTTCTGTCAAAAAAAAATCTTACAGTAGATAAACCACGCTAATACGCCCGCTTTACATAAAACTCTGTACAAGCCATTCATACATTAACAGTCCATCAAAATAATGATTTAGAAATCAGTCAGCGGGCTTTAATAACTGGTAGACTATGAATTACAGTGTTTACGAAACATATTGTAGCTGATAGTGTATAATCCCTCCATCCAAATGTTTTCTGGGATGCAGTGACACCAGGCGGCGTGAATCAATCCGAGTACTGGAGATCTAAGTCTACTGTGCCATCCGTCACCACCAACCTCACTCTCTTGGGTTTTGTGGCACCCATGGAGTGAGTCGATGGAACGGGTCCATAGTGTGATGTGCCTTGGTGTTCCCCGGGCTGGCACTGCTGCTGCATGTCCTTCCTGCACTGTTCGTCTTGACCTCTGAGCCCTGAAAATCCACCCAAGGAAAAAGACGCCGGGTTAGACGACTGGGGTCCACAGGGCTCGAGGACCAGTCGCCCCTGGGTGCCTGAAGGTTCCATCAGACAATGATAGGTGTAGTTTGTCGAGCCTAATCCCGGGTAACCCTCAACCCCATCCCTTAGACCCAGGGTCAATGAATGGTCTCCGCTGAAGTTCAGTACGTAAGGAGGACCTTGACAGCCATAAGGGAAAGATGCTGAGGAGGCTGAGGACTGAGTCTTGTTTGCTGGTGCTGGCGTACCAGTAGGTGTACTGTGGGCCACTTGGGGGTTGTTGTGCTGAGGCATGGGCGAAAGAGACGAGCCGAAGCTAAAATCGAAAGGGTCTTGCTGAGTGTAACATGGCTGGTGCTTGTCTGAAGTCGACGGAGTGGATTTCCTGTCGTGTGGTGATGAATAACCATCAGACACTTTGCTAGGGAAGAAGAAAGGTCTTGGCAGCGCTGAAAGGTTTTTGTATGTCATGTTGGATTCACCACAGTCAGATGACATCCTACTTTTAATAAAAGACTGAGGGAAAGAGGGGATGGGTTTGTTGAAATGAGGGTTGGACCTGCTGAGGTTGCTGGAGGAACCAAGATGGCTGACATCTTTTCCAAACCCTTGAACAGAAACATTGTCTTTGTGGCGACAGTCTGTACTGGCACCTAGTTTCTGACTCTGCGGGTTTCTCTCAATAGCACCTGATTTTGCACTGAGTGTTTTGGATGCGATGATCGGGCTGCCGGCAGCCATGGCATCTTTACAAGGTGCACTGTACAAGTTCTGAGTTGGGGTCCCCCCCTGATACTTAAGCACCCTGTGAATAACTGTAGAGGTTTTCTCATGGAATTTGAATGGATTGTCAGGAGGATTGGGATTTTTCACAGTGAAGAGTTGAGGAGGGAGGAATTTGTTTGACATTTGGGGTGGCGGGGCGGATTTAGTCGTGCAACTCTGGGTCATTCCTCTGACAGTGTTTGGCTGAGTACTTGAAAAACACTGGGGTTTACTAGGAATGGTACGATGGAAGGGGCCCTGGGTTCTAAGGTTCGACTGGACTTTTGATTGACTGGTGCTCGCCCTGGCGTTGATGGAGGGATGGGTGAAAGTAACAGGAGTGTGAGATGTAACAGAGGACGGTGTTGCACCGAACACCCGAGGCTTGCCGACTACAGGATAGGACTGAGTTCTGAGGTCTTCTCTGGAAAGCCTCATTCCTGGATTTTTACTTAGAATTCGATCCTTAGCAGTGAAGTCAGAGTTGCCAAGAGCTGAAAAACTGAAAGGGTTGGATTGGATTCTGTCTTTGGAGGTATACTTCGCTTCACATTCCACAGGAACAGAGTCACTTTTGGAAGAAATTAGACCTGGAAAGAACTGCAGATCCTCACTGGTAAAGTTATTTCCTGGACTGGGAGGGCCAAGGTACGGCGTCTCAGTTGTCCATGTATCAGACGGGCTGTGAGAGAGGGGACTGCTGAAAGGATCCGTTGGTGCATCAAGTGAACACAGATCTGATGGGGAAGACGGAAGGATGTTCTGTGGCTGATAATACCCCTCAAAGTTGAGACACTGGAAGTCCAGAATATCATCACAGCAGTTCGTGAAGTTGGGCTCGCCGGAAAGCATGTTATCTGCAGTTGTGAATGGAGGAGACTGGGACGGGGGCTGAATGACAGAATTAGAAACACTGGAACATGCTGCTGGCTTTTCCAAAGTCTGAGATGAACACAAGCCCTCGGAGAGCCTGGAGAGACTGTTGTCAATCTGTTGGAGAGTGTGACTCAGACAGGTGGTGGGTGTTTCAAAAGGGCCACACTTCCGTGGTCGCTCCATTTTGTGCCTCTGTTTCCTTCCCACACTGTACATCTCTGGCCTTTCAGCGATTGCATCTGCGACCGAGGATATCACTTCGGTTTTATTGTCATTGAGGGGGGAAGACAGAGACAGTGGTGAGAGAGACAAGGAAAATGGGGGCGTTTCTGTTTTCAGAAGGGCCGTGTTGCTGTTCAGTCTCTGCGACGGGAACTCTTCTTTGAGCTTGCTAATGTCAAGACATCCTTTCTTTTCTTTCCCTAAATTGTGACCCTTCACCTCTTTCTTAACATTGGGCTCTACTTTAAGTCCAGTTTGTATAAGCCCCTCTTTGCTGTCCACCTCCCAAATATCCTCTGTCTTTCTGCGTAGTTTAATTACTGGTAACGGAAGACCATTTGAATCCAATTCAGGCTCTATTTTCTGCTGTGACCCAGTTTCGAACAAGCAGCAATTCTTTACAAAACGATCTTCAATTTTAGTTTCTTTCCCTACAACTGACATATCACTGTCAGTTTTACAACTCTCAATTTTTCCTGGCAGCAGCTTGACTCCATCTAGAAGTTCCTTATCGAGCTTCTCTTTCATTTCTACTTGGTCATTGGCTGTTTCACTGGGTCCACACGCATTTTTAAGGTCTTTTTCTAATTTAACATCAAAGGATGCATTTGTGGTTTTCCTTTCACTCAGCCTCTGGCCTCTCTTTTTCAAATGATGCAATCTGCTCTTTGACTTCTTACTAGCATGCACGTGTGCCTGGGCGGCCTCCATCTCCATGTTTAGAATGGATACGGAATCCATAATAGCTTTAAAAGGGTCGCACGTCACCAGCTCGTCTCCCTTTTCTGTTTTTAATGCCATATTTTCCAATCCTGCTCCTTGCATCTCCCATACTCTCCCTCTCCTCCTCTTGAACCGAATCTTGAAATCGATGCCTGGCTTTGTCTCCCCCAAACTACTTCGCTGGCTGAACGTTTCCGCCTCATCTTTCTTCTGAGATCTATTCAGAGCTGGATGTTTTTCATGCTGCTTTTGGATTTGAGCAGGACCCGCAGCTTGTTTGTCCTCTGCAAGCTTATCACTCTCTGGTGCCTGATCTCTATCGATGTCATCCTCATCTTGCCTCTCTATTTTACACTTTTGAACTTTCCTCAATAAATGGCTTCGCTGAACTACATTAGCTCGGGACCGTAGCACTCGCTTTAAGGAGTTTTGTTTTGTGATCTTCTGGGGGTTTAACCTCTGGACCTCTGTTGTCCTTTTCCTGCGTTTAATATGTATTTTCCCTTTGAAACTCTCCCCTGAACATGTGGTAGGTCCCTGACTCAGCTCTGCGGATGAATTTAGGTCAGCGGCTTCTTTGGAAGCTTGGTCCGAAGCAGAAGTCAAACCTTGTTCAGAGTCTATTTCCACAGAACTTCGAAATGTACGTTTCTTCAGAGGTATGTTGGACTGTATGTGTGCCTGTGGATTGGTATCATTAGTCATAGCTTTCGTTGAAATGAGGGACCTATGAGGTAGTGGGGTTAGGCGGCTGGCCGGTGGCTCGTCATGCCTCTGTGGTGACTGAATCTGCAAACTGTACTCACTCGACTCAGTCTTCACTGTAGCTGGCACTTCTTTGCTCAAGTGTCGCTTGGTGCCTTGCTTAGCTTTTGTTTTCGCTGCTCGAGGCCTCATCTTTCGCCGGCTCATAATCCTCCTCTGCACTGAGCAATGGTACCTTCCTCCATTTAGTTCAGTCGGTTCCTCTTCCTCCTCAGCACTTTCCACTTTTTTAGAGGCTGAGGTAGAAAACACTCTTCCTACAATATCTGCTTGTAATCCTTTATCTATTAAGGATTTATCTTTTCTTAAAATATCAGACAGCAAAACTTTAGCCTGCTTTATGACAAAATCTTCTTCATGCCTACTTACTGGCCGTTTACTCACATTCCTAGCCATTTGTTCTAATTTAACAACTCCCTCCTCAATGTTATTTTGAACACACTGTGGGTTATTTTGTCCTCTAGTTTTTTCACTGGGCGCTATTTTACATTCCGACTCTTTAACTTCCTCCATGGCTGTGTTACTTTTACATTCCACAATTGCAGATGCAGCATTTTTCCTTTCTTTCTGCTCTTCAACTTCGCTTTTTACAATGTCCTGCTGCTCCTTCTGCATTTCACCTTTTTCTTCCGACACTGTTTGTATTTCGATAACCTTATCGTCCCGCCCTTTCTCTCTGTGGGATAAATCACCTACAGAGTCACTTGCTTGTAGCTGCCCTACATGTACTTTATCGATGGCCTTGAAAAACATTTCCCTCACCCCTCTGTTACCTTCAGCTTTGCAGACATCTGAACTTCCTTCCTGCCTCTGCTGAGATCTGGACACTCTTTTTTCTGACTTCACTATCAGAGGTGCTGGTCCGGTACACCGGCTCTGCCTGGCCCTTCCTCTTAACTGCACTCTTCCTTCCTGGTCTTCAGAGATCTTTTCTGCTGCTACACTCGACACTGATAACCTCGTTAGGCTGACTGTAAGGTATTGCTTCAGTGACACCAGTGGATTGTCTCTGGCTTTCTTCGTTCCATCGGTGACTTCCAACATGGATGAAGCTCTGGTGATCCTGGGCTCCGTTGGCACAGGTGCTGGGTTTCGAGCCTCGTCAATGATGCAGGATTCAATGCTGCTGGACTTGTTGCTTTGACTCTCTGCGATTGCTTTTTCCATCTTGTCTTGTTTTATTGCACTGCAGTGACAAACAGCTGTAGTGTTGGCTGTGTTACTGGACCCTGTTTGATGCGTGAGCGTGGTTTCAACCATGCTTCTTGTTCTTGAAGAGTGCCTCATGGGAACTACCCGCCTATCCACCACTTTAACAGATTTCCCATTGAGGCCTGCGCTGCTGGCTGCAGGTCCACTTTTCTGGTGGACAGACATGGATGAATTTAGGGAGAAAGGCTTCAAGTTTACCTCACTGCCGTTATTTTCTTCACCAGTCGAATTCAGTTCACTCAGCCCGTTGTCTTTTGGATTCTCTTCTTCCAGTTGTTGAAGCAAAGCCCTTTCTTTGCCTTTTGGATCCTTACACTTGAGTAAGAAACCAACCGAGTGGCGCCGTACTCTGATTCGGAGGTCCCTCAGAGTGAATTGGGACAAAAGTGTCTGATACAGTTGGACTGTGGAGGATTTCAATGGGTTCTTTCCTGATCGCCTATGCTGCTCTCGTCTCCACTTCTTTGTTTGACAAAATTTTCTGTTCTTTAAGGCATTTCTCCTCATCTGCTGGGTGAAGGAATTCCTTGAGGGGATGGCTATGAATGAAAGACAACAAAGAAGAAGCAGGTGAACTTAAAGCACCTCTTTTGCTAATGTGTATGTTTGTTCAACATATGCAGTGCGTTAAAATCCTGCCTATTCAAGCGATGAAAACACTGACATTTCTAATGAATTAAGTTATCAAAAAAACTCTAACACACCAATAGCATCTGTTTACAAATAAATACCTAGCCATGGATATGACGTTTATGACAGAACCCCTGCAAAGATATGACAGTGGAGGAACATTGTGATTTAAGTGACCAATTCATTAAACTGCCATCATTAGTTTTCTATCTAGTAAGACATTTACTGCACAGCGGATGGAAAGATAGCCCGTGGTACTGACAAAGCATGAGATGCTTGGAAAGGTGTGGGAGTGTTCAGGGTGAACAAAGACGACACTGACTGAATTATACTGAGCCCGTTTTAACATATTCTCTCTTTACCAGGAAGCAACCAATCATGTCTATTGGCCCACACAGTGAACAGTACAGTTCTACTATATTTTATGTAGCAGGGAAATAAGAGCATACGGACACTTAATGAGAGTTCAATAAAAAAAGAAAAGGGAACAAACGTTCCATTATTGATCCGTATCTAAAGTGGCATTACAACTCCTTGCAAACTTACAGTATGTGCAGTTCGAGGAGCAATCTAATCAAAATTATATCACCTACATACAAATATCTTGAATAAAAAATGGAGATAAAAAAATAAACAGAATCTATTAGAGTTTTAAACTATTTGTGTGCGGTCTAAATTGTTACTGTTTATGATAAGTAAGGGTTAGGGTGTTTGGGAAGTAGTAAGCATACGACTGCATCAATGAAACTGGGATTATACTGCACGAGTTGTGTGAGAGTTTGTAAATAGATGTTTTGATATAGTTTTGCTTTTGTTAAACACTGCCCCCTTTTACTTCAATTCATCACTTTTCTTTGTTGTTTTTCATCCTCGGTTCTTGGGCATGCGAGAGAAGCAAAGTTTTAAGTATTCAAGGTAATACAGGGCGAGTATTTAATATACAAATGGTATTTTTTGGATGAAGTATTGACACCTACTAAGTAGTTCCAGTTACACGGTCTGTTCACAGTTCTAAATGAATGCGCTGGCTACATTAAATGAAAAACAAGTCATTTTAAATATCTTATTTACAACAATGAGTGTAGTCCTTTTGGTGCCTCGTCATCTCAACACCACAGGGTGGCGACTGTTACAGACAAGCTTCACGAACATTGCCCCTTTGAACTTACTGATACATACAGTATAATTTACTGGAGCAGTAATCAACGTTTCCATTGCATAAGAATCTCATTGTCTCAGGGATTAGCAAACCATCATGGGTAACAGGGAGACGGAGTGAATGAAAAACTTCAGATTTTGGTTGCTTTGGCAGGTTACTATGATATGAATGGGATATAGCCCTTCTAGGTGTCCATTATTAGGAATTAATGTACTACATAGAGGCAACGGTCCAACGCACATGTTGGCCATTGATTCCTAATAATAGACACCTTGTCGGGTATCATCCCTCACTTAACATCTGACTGACTGCATTAGCCTGATCTTGTTTGAGGTGTAACGCAGCACAGATGTCCGGCGGACTTAAATGATTTTTTTTAGCAGCAGATAATGAAAGTTTTAAATCAGTTAAACAGTCACTTTGATGACTTTCAACCTGAATTCTATCATGTCTGACACATAAAGAACCCTGTGTTTTTAAATAATACTATGATCATAGTTATAGTATGTGAAGACTTTGAGTTACAACATTAAGAAAGCTGCCATATAATTTGTTTGCACACCATCGCCATAGAAATCTGTCAGGTGACATTTGTGGGGAAAAAAAAAAAAACTAAAATAAAAAGCTATTTGTTCAAACAATTCGTAAATCACAGTAAATATTCTGCAAACAGGTTTCATTAAGCAGTACTGTTGAGACATACGATGTGTGCAAATCTGACTTTTACACAGATATATTCAACTGATATTTTCTTGTCCTCATCTTGATGTATGGTAGAAAAACTGGAATTCCAGCCAGCATTGTTCAAATGTTGAGCTGAGTGGACCGTAACAAATGAGCAGTGTCCTTACGGCTTTTAATTTGATGGTACATTCAACAAGCAGACTGTCGAGCCTTTAGTATTACAAACTGTTATTCTTGACTTTACTACTATATACTTGCATTGTACAGTTAATATTCCTCTTAGTTGGTTTTGAGCCACTTCTGTTTGAATTAGCTGACTTTGGTATTTATTTTGTTACTTTAATTTTAACAGTACATAAAATTGTTGATTTGTAAGAAATTTGTAATTACTTCTTTGACTGATTTGAGAAAGCTTATTTTAGAGAAAATCCTCCAGTGGTTACCTTTAAAGATACCTGAGTGTATTCCTTGTATTATCGGCCTCTTCTCTCTGTGGTGACGAAGATATCTCTCTCTCAGGCGGTACTTCTGCCCCACAGGGTCCTTTGTTTCTTCACATTCAGGCTGCTTCCCCTTGTGTTTGAAGTGACCCTCTCCGTTCCTAAACAACAGTTAAAATTACAAAATGAAATTTCAGTTAAAACAGTCGCAAAGTTTTTTACATATATGATAAACAAAGTCTTCAGTTTTGAGCACAACCAAGCTACAGTAAAGACAATGCCAGAACAAATGATGGACACACCTCTCACAGGTGCAGCATTCACACATTTCATTGCCTTCCCCAAAAAAGCTGGCACCATAGTAACATGTGATCTCCTCCCCAGGTGAGATTGGTCGAATCGCTTCAACACACGCAATATTCTTCTCCCCGGGGACGAACTGGGCGGGTGAAAAAGGGGGAGAAAAAACAAACAGTCAAAGACAAAGACAAAGACAGGGTGGCCCATGGGATACATTAACACAGAGCCATTAACAAACAGAAAGAGTGCCGTTCTGTGCCTAAAACACTATTTTCAATATGCATAGTGTCACAATGATAGTTGTTACTAGATTTTGACAGTTATACAACAATCATATGCATTTGTCAAATCTCTTTAGTGCAGGTGATAAATAGATATAGGTGATTACCTTGCAGTTTGGTTTGCAGTCTTCATCCCAGAAGAACCAACAACGAGAGAAAAACACAGAAATAAAAGATTTAAAGTTATTAAAATGTATCCCAGCGATGAATAAAGGACTCGGTATTTTGTTGATCAGCTGGCTTGCACTGAAGTAGTTAGCAAAAGGCTCAAAGGCTAAGCTGATTAACTCTCAGACATTATTAAAAGATCTTGCTGGAAAATTGGTGAACTGCACAAGTCTTGAATACAGAGAGACGTGTTAGACTTGTCAACTAAAAATACCAAAAAAAAATTCACAAATGTTGGATTTTTGACACAAAGATGGAAGATAACTTAACAAGATGGAGTATTTCATGTTTAATCTGCAGTCGGAATACATTCAATCTAGTGCTAATCCTGCTCCTAAGCACTTGTTCTAGGAACCACAAATTCATCTTGCCCGGCTTACATGACATGAGGTCATTTGGACTATATAAATTGCAATATTTGGATATACAACTGAAAGTCATTTACAAGAAAAATCTGCATTGTGTGAGTTTCTGAAAGAGCCGTGATAAAAACTAAAAAAATAAAAAAATAAAAAAAAAAAAATAAATAAAATAAAATAAAATAAAATAAAATCAGCCTTTCAGTACAGTATGTCTGAAATCAAACATTGTTAGAAAACACTTGATAAAAAGTGAATTGTTTTGTCATGCAACTACACATAATAAAAGACCTGTCAATCAGTTTGAGGTTGATTGCAGCTTTCTATCTTGTGGTTAAAATGTTGCTATTTGTTTTTTTCTGCCATTTGGATCACAGACTGCGACTTAAAAGAAATCCAGCCAGGTGAAAGTGTTGCTGATGAAACTCACAGGCAAGCACTCCAAACAACTAGACACATTTTGAATTGGTAAATCTGTGTGTGTGCTGGGAAAGAATGAGTCGTGAATGATAACAAACTCACCGTGGTTAATGAAAGCTGCAGGCCCGAGCCAAAGCTGAGTGCAGCGTTTGCGTGTAGAATACATCACACTGAAGTCATTGACTCCTGCCCTTAGCACAGCGCCGTCAGCGGGGCTCAGCTCTGCTATGCAGCCCAGCAGGACCTCCACCCGCTCTCCTGCAAACCTACGGAGCAACAATTCAAGGGTCACATAGCTTCAATTTAGAAGTAGCGCACAGTCCAGGAAATGTAGCAGCTGTTGTTCAACGACATGCAGCCGTGACAAATACAACGCAGGAGTGATTACCATTGTCTCGTGGAGGTAATCTTTGCTCCGTTGGTCTCTGAGGAGTATCTGTCACAGGACTCGATCTTGACACCGCTATCCAACAGGAAGGCACTGAGGTAGCGATACACCTGCAGACATTACAGATGGTTTAGATCGTGTTCTGACTCAAGTGAAAAATTCAGGAATCAATGATTGTATTAGATTCATAGAAAGCTAATACAAATACGAAAAGAGGGAGACGTCCAAGCACAAATGTCATACCGTGTTTTTATGCATTTTTCTCATTTAATCTGTGATTATTTAATATCTACACTGCTTTCTAAGCCTAAACATCAGCTTACATGTTGTCTCAGCAGCTCCTGTCGATGGCTTCCCAAAGCACTAAAGTAGTCACCAGCCGGTTCACCCACTGTCAGTGCCTCAAACGTAGCATTGAAGTCATGCATACGCTGAAAGCGCAACAGGGTCTCTTTGAGGTTACCCCAACGCCGGATCTCTGGTGGGGGACTAAAGAGGACAGAAAAGCAGAAAATGGCAAATAAGAAGAGCAGAAACAGTCACAGGACAAAGTCTAATCACAGTCAGTGTTAGTCTAAGGCGTGTTTGTGTAAGGTGCCATTTTTTATCTCAAATTTAAGATATAGCTTTCAAGATACTGCATCACTATGTAACATTTGTTGTGCTCAGATTTGTCGGTTAACATATTTTTGGTATGATCTAAGAAGACACAAGATTAAATAAATAATAAAAAAATCAAAGTTCTCCATGATTTGCATTTTTGTGAATGTTGCTAATTTAACATTTCCATTACTTGATGTACTGAGAGAACACAAAAAAACACCAATATCAGTTCCAAGTTAAACGTGACTACATTACGGGCTAAATGATAATCAGAAATATGATGTAGAGATAACGATTAATTCTTGTTTGTACATCTTTCTCACTACAATAGCGTAATTCTATTGGAGGATTCTCATTCCTCACTAAATTTAAAAAGGTAGGGCTTGAAATCTTCTTCAAATACATTTATAATATTTGTTGAAATTCTCTTTAAATCCTGACAGCAATGAATTAATCAAATGCGCGGACACAAGATTTTAATAAGCTACCTGTCTGTGCGTATTCAGCGCGTATTCTGCTTATTGCTTCAAATACACACAGCTTTTTTTTTTTTTTAAATGACCAATAATATATTATCATCATCAAATTGTAGATTTTTTCCTCCAGTCACATCACACTGTGCATTGGAAGCAGAAAGCATCAATGATCAAAACAAACTCGTACTATTGGTCAGAGAGCGTACATGTAAATACGGAGGGCTTGCATGGGCATCTTGTTTATTTACCCTGATGTTAAAGTTTCAAAAGCTATTACAGTATGTATACTTAAGAGCTGAAACACTAAATATTTTTGGCACATTTGGACTTTTGGTCTAACAAAATAACCGACGACGTCACGTTTGGCTCTGTGAAGTTGCGACGGCTATTGTATCGGCAGATTAATCGATTAGGAAAAGTCCTAGTGTACTCGAACTGTTGTGTCGAGCTAAGTAATCGTATCCAATACACCTACATTAAATGTAAATGGAGTGGACAGTGAGCAGGAACTGTGTTGAGCTGCAGATCTGACATTTCAACAGACACAGGGCAGTAAACCACTGCTAGTTGATTCCACACACTATCACATCCAAATAAAGAACATTTTAACATGTGCGTCTGTATATAGAACTCTTAAGGATGGGTCTGGTTGTCATGACATGCTCATACATGGCCCACTAAACTATAAATAGAATAAGAAAAGTTGTAACAATACTGTCCCGATGTAAACACCCAGCAGAAATCAATAATAACCAATTGTTTAAATACTGAAGAGATCGCCTGTTAACTCTAATGTTGTTTGAAGCGAGAAGTCTTGAGTGACAGATTACCTGATGTTCATTTTGTGGGTGCTGAAGCCCAGCAGAGGGTCCAGCACCAAGCCGGTGGCCAGGTCATCGGTCTCACACAGCTCCTTCACACTCATTCTAGTGCATCCGTCCATTGCCTCCCACCATCAGCATGCTACAATCACAGGTCAAAGTAACGCTATGACAACAACAACAACAACAACAAACCTCAATCATCTTTGAGTTGTGCATCTTAGCAGATCCAGTCTGCAACCGACACAACATTAGCGTTAGTTACTTGCTCACTTAAAGTAGGCTTTCAAATCCCATCATGCAATAGGGTTTAATTAGTATTCGATATGCTGTTTACAATAACCAGTTAATGATAGCGCTGAGTTAAAGTTAGGAATGTGACCGAGCACACATTAGCTTCCATAGCACATTAGCTTAGCACGTCGGCTTTTGGGAAGATATGCAGGGTTATCAGCTGAGGGAAGAAGCTAACAGTATGGGAGCACTAGCAGCTAACGTAACATGACCTGCATCAGATAGTTACCGAACTGTGAAGCAATGTGCATTCACAGTGATGCACGCTGGCAATTTGGTTTTCAAAAACATACCTGGGAGTCTTTTGTAGTCAACGAAATTGTCGTCAGGTAGACAATTTATCGCAAGATGCCCGCTTGCTCTGGTACGGAAAGTTAGCCTAGCAACACAACCACCTAGCTTTCCGCCGTCTTGCAGGCTAAGTCCGTGCTGCCGCGTACGAAAATGGAGTCCCCTCGTCACTTCTGGAATTTGTTGGTTTGTTGACAACTGCGAATCCCGAGCTGAATTACAAAAGACGGAAACGCACCTCACACGACGACAAACTAGCTTTAAAATGGATATGTTATGTAGCTAGCTAACTAGCTTTGCACAATGCTCTTCTGGTAGCAAAAGTTGATGGGCAATGTCCGGTGCAACCGAACTAGGATAGACCACGCCCACGTACTACGCTATTGGCTGAGGTCAAGGTTAATTTTACAAATCAAGTGTGTTAGGCTCCGTGATTGGTCAGGTTATTTATGGGCGGGGCCATGTATTCATGTTTACTATGTTGGGACAGAGCAGAGGTGAGTATTTACTCCAGTGATACGTATCGTTCTCAAACCCAGCTGACTCCCCAGTCGGACACATTTGTTTCTCACTAACGTTACACCCCCCAAAAAATGATATTTCCTGCCTTATTTCAAAGAGATGTCTCTATTCCAAATGTCATGGCGTATTGGAAAAAAGTGATCTTTGCTTTCCTCAAAAGAGATGCACATTTTTTTTTGATACATTTTCTATCGATGTTGGATTTTGTTTCATTAATAAAACAAAAAAACGTATTTTATTATTTTCCTGAAGGATGTTGAGCAATATTGTGAAACTACTTTATAATACGACAAAACAAAAATGCTATTGAGACACATCTGCATGTTGTAAAATATGTTTTGCCTAGTGTGATATACCACAGTCTCTTTTGTTATTGTTCTATATGTATACTACCCCATGTGCACTGAATCTGTATTGTTTTCTATTGTTTAATTCACAAAGATTATTATAAGACTATTTATAATAAACCAGTTGAGGAATGTGCATGCATAGCTGAAATCACCAAGTTAAAGGTCCAACACTTTTGTGTTTTGGTCATAAAAAATAAAAGTTGTCATTTTATGCATGGCTCAACTTCCTCAGAGTTTAAACTGCAAACCTGTGATTGCAGGATCATGCAAGTCATAAGCATTAGTGAGATATTGAGTTGTTAAATGGTCTGTCAAACAAATTGAATGTGAAAAAACGTCTGATCTGAGTTATGGGTTTTGTTTACATTTGGATCAATGACTGTGACTTTAAGGTTCAAAGTTAACTTTCGTTATCTCCCACACAGTTTCTAATGTGCATATCTTTGATGCCTGATGCACACCTTCCAGTTTAAAAACAGACTCTAAACGTGTTTCCTTAAAGAATTTTAAGAATTAGCTATATGTAGTTATGTCTTTACGTAAGAGACATTGTTTTGCATTAGCACCTGCCGTGAAGCCTGTCAACCAGTTCAGGATCTGTTTGCTTAGTCACATGCTACATTTTTCCAAATCCATTTTAAGATGTACAAACTAATACATTAATGCTTGTAAATTTAACAATTAAACTATTAAAATAGCTCTACTTTTAAGGGCAATTTTACCCAGAGCTGCCAAGTAAGGAGAAGAAGAAAAATCAGTGTTCAAATGTGTTGGAAATTAAGAAAACCATCCAGAGTTGTTCTACTGCATATTTCAAAAGGCGTTAATGCATTTAAGCTTCCACAGACAACAATATCCAAGGACTTGAAGTGAAAGAGAAACTTCACTGTGTCGTCACAAAGGCTCAGCCATGGCGTTAGTATGGAGTGATGTATTTTTATCTGTTCATACACTTATATAGTCTGTTCTCACCAGCCACCCTGTATGTTCAGCTTTTTTTTCTCTTGTGAGAACACTGCACACACTAGATTTGAAGTTGCTGTCTGGTGAAGGCAAGTCTGGTTCATAAATCAACAGGAAGATTAACGAGCTGACATGTGGCGACTTTGCTGTAGAGAACGTCGGGTTGCACTTATAGGTTGCACCGTCATAAATCTGCAGAACCATCACAGAGAAGATGGCAATGTAGCAGGTACAGCAAGTTTCCCTCCAGCTGGTGTTCCATCAGAAACTACTGCTGCTTGATGTTGTCTGTATTTGGTGCTACAAGACTTCTGTAGCTTATTGTCAGTATGCATACTTACTCATAAATATCTCTTGCTTTCTATTTCATGCTTACAGTATATTGTATACTAAGTATTTATTACATGCTTACAACTAACATCTTTTTCATCCTATTTACATCTGAAATTTTCTATTTTGTCATATTAACACATATTCCCACATATTGAGATATTGCTTTTGAAGGCCTGTATGCAATGTAATACATTTCAAGAACAATTTGGGGTTAGCTATTTTTCAGTTTAGAGCATAAGACTGTGATTCGATTTAGAGTATTTTACATGTTTTAATGCAATTGTTTTGGCTCATTGCCTCTGAACCTTTCTCACTGTACTCACAGCATGCTTCACACTTTTTAGCCCAGCGAGGAGTCACAGAAAATCATAGAAGTGATCAAGTAGGAAAAAGATAAAGACTGCAGAGACAGAGACGGAAGCAAGCCATGCTGCCAAACCACAAACAGCATAGGAAGGAAGAGGCAGGCCACATGGGTGGAGAAAGACTGTGTCGTCCGTTTAGTTTTTTCATAAAGCAGTTCACACTAAATATGGTCAACTGACTGACTGTCTCTCTTTGATTTGGTTAAGTGTGTGTGTGCTGCCTGAGCCAGGTGGCATCTAATAAATAAATAAGTAAATGCACACACAGGGATAAAGAGGCCACCCATCCTGCTGACTCATGCAGAACGCTTTGACAGACAGTAGAGGCAGCCTCCGCAAAGAAAATGAGGGAGAAAAAGAAAATGACTACACTCCCAATGTATGAGTCTGTCTAACAGCTACTAAATGTTAGGATGTAATATGTCTCACATTGCAGTCAGAAACATTTGAAAAGAAAACCAGACACAAATATACAAATTCTATGTTTTATTTCTATCTTATAACAGAGACAAATTGTGATTGATTTGAAAACAAAAGAAATACAAATAAAAAATACTGTTGTTTCTTTTCCTTAACTGTAATAATCTAATCGTTTCATATCTACCCAGCAACAGTGCATGGTGCAAAACATCCCTGATTGATTAAAAAATCCTAATAAGCTTGCAGTATCTAGCGTTACATTTGTCAGTAAAAACAATGTGAACAAAACAGTAATTAAAGACCAGATTCTTAGAGGTAATAACAGTATATATTAAATGTTATAAGCAGAGATTTATACAGCTGTGAAAATGAGAATGAAATTGGCCTTTATTGGACCTTTTATTCAGAAGACAGATCTACAAGTTCCATAATGTTTCAACACTATACATTATCTCTGACAGGAGCCACTTCCTTGTTTTGCATTGTTGAAAACCCCAATCTCATAGCACTCAAGCTCTAACTTTCTATATCCTCTTAAAAAAAACACGTACATTTTCAGATCTCTTTAGACACAATATCAACTTTATCCACAAAAGGTGGACCTGCATCATTTACAAATCAAATCAAAATGATCTTCGAAGCAGCAGATCCCTCTGACCATTGCCATGGATGGGCTCAACTCATTCCAATGTAGCGACCTTAAAACGTGGACAGAAACTGCAAGTCATCTGACTTGTGAATATCCTGTTATTATGATGGTTATTGGTGTATTTATATACTATATGAATATAAATATGTCCTCATACTATTTTAATTTAAATTTCACTTCCTGAGTTGATCTTACCTTTTTTTTTTCACCTGCCCTCTTCTACAGTACACAATATCCGATGCAGTTAGTTGCACTGTACGCAAATTGTTAGAAAGCCACACAGGAATCTGAATAAAGCTTGCTTACATTGATTTGATTTTTAAAAAACATTTATTTTCTGAGGTACTGAGTTGAAAACCTCTTGTTAGGAGGGGGAAAGGTGGGGCAGGATGACAGCCAAATTCCAGCTTCCCCCCCCCCCCCCCCTGCTTAAGTATGTGCGTATGCACTGCACTCAACCTGACCTGCCTTTGCAATCTGGAGAGCTGCGGTGGCTTGTGCTCATACTTGCAGAGGGCTTTAGAATGAGGACAGACAGCAGCAAATAAAACAAGACACGCCAATTATGTAACGAGGGTAAAGTGTGATTGGGTTATTAGAAATGGGCAGTGAGATATCCTGCAACACTGTAGAAGGAAATATTTTTTCACCAGTTGAAACAGCCTGTACTGAAATATGGACTGCTTTCACTGGGGACACCCTGTATGCCAACTTAATGTACAGTGGAAGGAATGCAAAACGGCCCATTTGTGACATGTGGAAACAGAGATGGTTCATTTTATATAAACAAGCACAAAGTGTCTTTTGAATCTGAATTATCAGGGTGGCTGTTGTTTGGGGGTTCACAGTTGTCACAGGATCCACTGATCATTATTTAGAAAATAGTTTGATTCTCTCATCTACGGCTCTTAATGCTTATTTAAATGGCAAGCAGTTAAAATAAAAAAAGCAACTCAGAATGATGACTGCTGTCACAAGCAATGCAAGCACTTCCACATTCTTGGCAATATAATTTACACAGCACAATTTAAAAAGCGTACAAAATGATGTACCAATTGCTATAAAGTGGTAGCTGTTCACCTGGGAATTACTTGATTTTGCAAACAAAACTTTATGCTAAATTCACTGGGAATATATACGATTACCTCATGTCTACAATAAAATAATGATTTTGTGCGAAGATTCCCAATTGGGTATAATTTGGTCTATTACTTACATTCTTACAAACACCGCTCTCTAGTGCTCATGTTCCTAGTTGTAGCTTGCATGCAACCCGCATCTGGTGTGGGTTTAGATTTAAATAAGCCCACCCTTTGTTTTTAAGACTGACTCAACTAGTCTAGAGCCCTTCAAACTGGAAAGGTCAGAGCAATTATTCATCATCTCATCTGACAACAGAAAACCTTCGAGCCATTTTCTCCTCAGTAGGCGTCTGGTCTCGACTATGCTTGTTAAAGTTTAATACAAATGAAATGCCAGATAAATAGTGGTATCTACATGTGGAACATAAATGGCACATGGTGATTTCATATTGTGTGTGAGGATTATTGAGCAACAGAGCCATTCACTTCCCGTTCCTCCTAGTCGTCCTGCTTAAGTTAAATTTCATAATCATCCAACAATCATTAGAAAAAAATAGACATTTTGCATCGAAGACCTTCCAAACCAAATATTGATTTGGTTTGGAAGGCAACATCTGGTTGAGAGCAGCGTTGGCTGTCCTCTCCTACAGTCACCAAACATCATCTTTGGCTAAATCACACTGAAGCAACATGTGAAATGCCCCTGTGTTTGAATGAAGTATAAACTGGGCCAAAATTAAATCTTCCAGCTTCCATGTTGAGAGTCTCATTCACAAGACTCCTCCAGCTGCTGTCATTCAAGCTACCACTAACAGACACGCACAGCCACCATTCATGGCAGACCGTTGACAAACGTGACAAAGCAATGGCAAACACAAAGTGATCAGCATGATGGCATGATTCAAATAAATGATTATTTTTATTCATCTTCAACTTGCAGTGAACTAAAAACAAAAACAAGAAAGAAATCAAACCATGTATCTACAAAAGAAAAGAAGCAAAACTATTTCACATCCATGACTGCGTTCTCAAATCATTGGTTTACGAAAGGGTAAAGAAAAAAATGCATTGAAGGATTCAGCTGCACATGTATGCACCTGTGTGCCCAGTGTGTGTGTGTGTGCGTGTGTGTGGTATGTGCACGTGTGTGGTATGTGCCGTTACCGTTTGACCGTGCAACTTGATCCCAACCCCCCCCACCCCCTCCATCACAGACATACACAGACCTCTGAAACAGGATGTACAAAAGCTTGTGTTTAGCATTAAACAGTGCAGAGCCTCAACATAAACAGCTAAGGCTCCTCTTCCTCTCTCCTGCTCCTCCCCTGCACCCAGGATTGAAATTACATCACAGATGGGCAAGAACCCATCTCTACAAAATGACAGTAAAACAGAACAGAGGGTACAGGAGGAAGAAAAAAAACAAAACAAAAAACATACATACAGAATACAGCAATTCATTCCCACTTTTTTACACTCACACAAAAAAAGTGCACGCAAACAGCCAAACAAACAGTTAAAAATAGTTTTAGAGCGAGAAAAAGCATGATTGAACCCTGGACACTTGCTTGCTTTGATGCCACTTGTTGACCAGGGAGAAACAAGTTTGGGAGGTATAGGGGAAGAAAAAAAAAAAAAAAGAAAGTGTGATGCGGACAGAGGGGGGGGAAATCCAGCGGCTGTTATTTCTTGGCCTTGGCGGCCTTTGCCGAATTTCGTGGCGGGGTGACCGGTCTCCCAGATCCCATCCCTCCCCCTCCGCCATAAGGATACAATTTCTTATCTGCTGGCTTCAGAATCTGAGAGAGAAACAGAAAATTGTCATTGAAGACAACAAATAAGCTAAGAACATTAAAAAAGAGAATATGCCATTCACTAGATTCTGTTACTGGTAAACAAAAATCACAGGCTGTTTTACACACCTGGAAGGAGCACATGAGTGTCTCATCCACACTCATCATGGCACCGGCGTTGTCGAACTCTCCACAGTAGTTGGGAGCAGAGAATAAGGTGACGAGTTGCCTCTTAGCGAAGAACTCATAACCGTCTTCTACCACCTGAGGACAGAAATGAGACCATCAACACCACACACAGCTGGTCGCTTGTTTGTACTGCTTTAGTCCAGTTGGTTTTAAATAGTCTACATAAATAACCTACATAAAATAACACCACACAACCAAAACAATAAATAAATGGACTCTCAGGCTCAAATAACAAAAATGTGCAAAGTCTTATAATTGTCGGAAACTCTTTGAACAAACATTCCTGTAAACATCGAGGTCAGCATATATGTCCATATATCGTAGAGTAACGGAAGACTTATCCAGGAGAGTAGCTCATGTTGTCAATACAAATATTGATTGAATATTCCTGGGCTATGGAAATAATATTTAGGTGGTGTTGCCCTTTAAATAGCTTAAATATGGTGAACTGAAATCTAATTTCCACTCTTCCTTTTAGTTTACATAAGAGAACATACAATGGTCCCACAGCTTCAGTTTGCAAGGGCACGAGGCCTCCTGGCTAAACATTACCTGATGTGCCCTGCATATTAGGTCCATGTCGTGTTTGTGCAAAAATTTGGCCACCACATCTGCCCCGAATGTGAAGGAGACGCCGCGGTCGTTTTCACCCCAGCCAAGCACATCTTTGTCTGGATCAGCCCACAGCAGGTCACACAACAGACCCTGGTCAGGCACGTCTGTGGGTCGCATGACTCTGCGGATCTGCTCCATAGACTGAAGATCAGGAGAGAGGCCTGGAGAGAGAACATACACCCATCTTAGTCTGGTTCTTATCATCTAAAGGGGTAATGCCTAATCCTCGTAACAACAGAGCCCTACCTCCATGACAGCAGAAGATTTTCTCATCTACTATGGCAGCCACGGGTAAACAGTTGAAGCAGTCTGTGAAGGTCTTCCACAGCTTTATGTTATACCTTCGCTTACCTGCCAACAAAAGAGGAGCGTTGAGAACTTAGAACAGATAAAGAACAAATTTGACACGTTTCCTGTTTACAAAAACACTACTTACACTCGTCATAAAAGCCGTAGATTCGATTAATGGATGCGCATTCATGGTTTCCACGCAGCAGGAAAAAATTCTCTGGATATTTGATTTTGTAGGCTAGAAGCAGGCAGATGGTCTCCAGTGACTGCTTCCCTCGGTCTACGTAGTCACCCAGGAACAGGTAGTTGCTTTCTGGGGGGAAGCCTCCATATTCAAACAGCCGAAGCAGATCGTAGTACTGACCATGGACATCACCTGCAGAGGGCAGCAGAGGAGCGCAATCTAAACACCACATTGGTACTGCTACAGGGTGGAGGCTGCTTATCAACTGCTACAACTGGCAATCACAAATGAGCAAACTGTAGTGAATCATGAACAAAAGCTCAGGTTATCGTCTGCAGCCTAACCTCTTTATGGCTTTATGGTATTTCACACTTGGGTCTTGGTGGGTTTTTGAAACTCATTGACCACTACATTAAAACTCACCACAGATTTTGAGGGGAGCCTCTAGTTCAAGCAGGATTGGCTGGCTCAGGAAGATTTCACGGGACTTTAGGCAAAGGCCACGGATCTCCCCCTCGGTCAGCTGGACATTCTTCCCTGGTCGAGAGCCCTTGACTGAAAAAAGGGAGATAAAGGGACAGACGTTATAAGAGAGAACCAATAAGTCCACAAAGACACACCTATGATCAGAGCTATAAGAAAGTGTAAACGATGACTGCCATGAGGAGCAGCAGAGAAACGTAGGTCTCAGCTTTTAAACCAGACTGGGAAGTAAACACCTCCCACCAGCAAAATGCTGGCTAAGTGTTAGTCTAGTCGTGTAATCACAATATTATACACTGTACAACAAGTCTTGAAATTATAAGTTATTTAAACAAAATACACTTTTATCAAACCACAACAAGATGTGTGTTAAGTATTCACAGAGATACAGCATCTGAGAAAAGCTGATCAGTGGAAACTACTCTGACGTCCTCGGCCTCTTTTTGCTTAGCGGAGAGTTCAAACCCGAGATAGAAGACATGAAACTCACTTCCCCCTTCTAGCCAACGTAGCTGCTGCAAAGACATTGCAAACCCGTAACTGGGACTCACTTAATATGGACTGTTTAGAAACAAAGAATAGCACCGTTTCAAATAAAAAGGCCACAAAAAAACAGGTTGAAACATAAAATGAAATCAAATATAAACTGCAGATTCCATTCTGTTTCCTGCCAGCCGGCTTCTTACACTGATGCTATCTGAAAAAGTCAGCAGGTTTGTCAAGTCCATCATTGTCACGTTTCTTCACACTTACCACACACTCTGAATGAAGCTGAACACACATCATGATAAACACTTGAACGTAGTGTTCATTTTCCTGACAAATCATTAAAATCACACACGTCGTTATGGCTCAAGTGTTAGAAAAGGTAGGAGTGTGATGCCAATGACTTCAACAGGAAAAAATAAAATTAAAAGAGTTGTAGTCTCACATGCATTCACAACTTATTTAATATCAAAGTATTACTGCTGCTCACAATACAGATCAAAATACTTTCACATTGACATGCCAACTATAGAGCGCATATACGCAAGGCCATAACACTACATCTCAGCGTCTGTGTGTCGACTGCAGACTTTGGAATCTGGTTTGTTTGTATCACTGACAAAGTAAATCATACTCCCATTCCTACATCTGCACATTTCTACTAATCACGAGTCTCATTCCGACCCAACAAATTATATCACAGCCTACAGAACGGGTTAATGTACATATAGTGACAACAGACTGTTTCAGTGACTATTGTTTTTTTACGCTGGGTGTGTCAGCAGAGCTCACTCTAATACGTTTGTGGGGATTGAGTAAACCGTTGTTGGGTGTTCACCAGTTAACAGACATGCTCGCACCTTTACATGCCAAACAATCAAAGTGACACAGATACTACCAGCAGAACTATAGCTCTATTCAAACTAGATGCATTTCACAACTCTAGGTATGTAATTGTACTTCCTGCTACTGGCAAAAATACAAGCAAATTCAGAGGCAAAGCTACAGATGTATGAAATAATAGCCAACTTAGATTACAATTGATATACAATTAATGACACCACCTCATCTAAAGAGAGGAGGATATCATTACATTTGGGAATCAAAATCTCACAACTTGAAGCAGGTTAACTCAATAAATGTTGATAAATCTTGTCACCTATTGGATCACAGAAAAAATAAAGTGATAATTGCCAAACTATTTGCTTGTATACATATGGAGACAGAGGTAAAGATCAATTTTTTTTGTCCAAGTGACAAACCATAATCACAGATGCCATCATTCACATCATTTGTTACAAGCAGGGGACCTGACCCTCAATCAAAGACCATCCCTCAGTAAACAGATGCAGGTGTAATAGCGCTTGCAAAGCACTCAGAGGGTGAGAGTAGAAATCAACAAATGGATGCAAAATGTTGCCGCTATCCTGAAGTAGAAACTAAAAGCAAGGCCCTAAAGAGTGAAAAGTAGATATAAATACTGCAGTGCTGCTTGTCACTTTAAACCTGGATTACAGAAGGCTAAGCCTCGACAGAGCTTACTCCAAAGTTAGCCACATAGCCAGTGGGCAACTGTGAGCTTATCATGAGGGGTACAGACAATAGGCTTTCCACTACGCTGATCAGGGGGCAGAAAACAAAGAGCTGGACCAGCACAACAGAAAAGCCAACGGAGGTGCCGTCAGAGCTGGAATCAACAGTTGGTTTGGTCCAGCACTCCTGACTCAGTGCTGCTGGGTGTTCTGGCTGAGCTCATGTGATGTCATGCTGTTAGCAACACACACTCCCAGAGTTCACTTAGCTCTACGCAAGTAATCCAATTGAAACTGCTCATTATCCAAACACATTTAATTGGTTTGGTCTCGAAACACAGTCAGCAAGCACGAGGGTTACCTTGTTGTCTCCATAGGAGACTGAGCTGTTGTGGGATGCAAGTTATCAATCTCTTGATGCAGCACCTGCAGCGAGGCAAGTGTTCTTCACTAGTCTTGAAGAGAGTAGACCAACACAACAATAATATCAACTGGAAAGTGGTTATTCTCAGCAACATAACTACAGATGGCGACGACAAAAGAAAAAAAAAAAGAAAAAAAAAGAAAAAGAAAAAAAAGGTCAAGTGAGTTACATAATACATAAGAGGATATAAATACTGCCACTATCGGGCATGTTTGTCTTCCCCTGTGTTTGGCAGACAACCTTATCGTGGCCCAAGTATAACCATCTATGTACAAAACACAGCACCGCAGGCAGGGTCCACAGTCAAAGTCAAACTCCCTATGAATACACATGCATATTTGTGAATAAATCTAAATCACCTCCACCAGCTCATTTTCGGCTGATCATGAAGGGCCTATATTTAACACGGTAAATAAACACTATGGTCAAATTCATTACAAGTGTTAGGCCTGGGAAATGTTTCTGCACCCAGCAGATCTTCTGATACGCCGTCTAATGACGCGATTCTTATAACATTTTATTTTGGCCGCAAGATACCAACATACTTGATGTTGCTCCCGTCAAAAAGTCACACAAAAGAAGTCTGTATACCAACAGCTCCATAGGGGAAACACGTGTGTGTACATGTGAAGCAGGCAGAATTTCAGCACCCAGTGCACTTTCAGCACAAGGACAACTACAGAGGTCACAATCCTGTTTGTTGTGATCTTTAGATGAACTATACAGTCGGGTCTGAAGATTTATGCTTCCGTTTAAAGCCTTCAGGGCTGCTCTTACACAATCATGTGGATGCAAAGATAAAAACAGTCCTGTTTTCCCCTCACACACAACCACACAAGCAACCTAAACAAAGCTTTCTTCACACGTATACAGTGGGCAGTAGAGCGATGCTTCATGTACGATTTGTAGAGCCAATATACGTCTAACAAAGGTCTCCTGTCTTCAGCTTCTTTCTTGCAAAACCATTCTAGGGCACTTTTCACAACTTGAATCACTCATAAGCACAGTACAGTTATTAAAATTATTCTTAGTACTATCCTAACACAGGCGCTAACGCAAATGTTTTTTTCAAGGTGAGCACTCAAGATGAAAGAAAATGATGCAAGCAGTTTGTACATTGCTTTAAAAACAGCAGTGGAAGAGGAGGCAGCAGTTTCACTCAGTAAGCATGGACCAATCAAAGCGTTGTTTGTACACCTCATTAACTAGTCCCTAATGAAAGGTTGTGGCTAGAAACTGTTATCAGATCCTTAACTGCAAAACAGAAAGCACAACATCAGTGAGAGCACTCATGTGACTGAGAAGCTCTGGTGGAAAAGGGGACACAGAGGATAGAAAAACTATGATTACAAGAGTGTTCTTACAGTAAGCCTGTGTCAAGGAATGTTTACATCTACAAGTGAAAGTAATCCTTTGCTGCCATATTGCAAATAGACACTTTTTAAGCTCCTCCAACAAATAACAGTAGTTATTCAGACAGGACTTTTCTTTTATTCTGGGCTGAAATACAAGTGAGAAATCATCATGCATTATTTAAAGCTAAGCTAGCAGTGTATGAGAAAGTGTAATTTTGCGTAAAATGTGAGCGATGTTCTACTTCACTACTACTCTGTAACGCCATCCATTCCCCCTTGATTTGCAATCAGGTAACATGTATGCATTTCTAATAAAAACAGAAACAGGTGGCTGTGATAAAAAAAAAATGACCAATCAAATAGCATGAGCTGAACTATCAGTTAAGAGCAGGCTTGATGTGGCTACAGCCTTTCATCCAAATCCAACCACAGAGTCTGAGAGCACAGCAATCCTAAGTAGGCTACAACAATATACCGTATCAACCTTTAACCCGGTCGACTTACCTAGAACATAAAACACACATTCCTCTACCATCAATCATCTAAACTAAACACATTGCAACACAGTGGGTTTGGTCTTCCTCACCTTCCAACAGACGCTGAATTATAGAGTCGATGTTTAATTTGTCTGGCTCCGCCATTTTCTTTATTTTCTGACGTTCTCGGGCAGTCAAGACCTTGGTTTTCCGTGTTGCACCTTAGATTTCAAGAACAGAAAGAACGACACACATACTGACAAATCCTCGTAAAATACGTCTCAAGTCACATCGGTTATCTAACAAGGGCCTCGCGCTAGCTAATCGGGCAATGTTAGCAGACTAAAACAATGAATGAGTTTAAGCGACCTAGAGCTAACCAAGCTAGCTAGGTAGCCACTAGCCTAAGTAACGAAAGCTAACACTACACATATAAACCGAACTGCTAGTTAGCTTACGTTAGCCAATGAAAACTTGCAAACAGATGAAATGTCCCCAAACCTTGTCTTCAGTTTGACGATAGTCTTTCTGGGGTGAATAATGTGTAGATGTATATTCTCCGAGCTCAATCTTGGCCCCTTTCCTTCGATTTGTCCGGGTTCCTTCGCTCGTCCCCCAGGAACTTTAAAAGAGGGCCGTGGCTACCGAAGAGTCTACGGTTACGTAGGAGGCTGTGTCAAAACGAGCTCTTCACACGTTCCTCTCAGAGCCGTATAAAGAGAGAGTCGCGTCAACGGAAGTTCAAAATGCGTCATCGTCACGTGATTCGCGTTGCTTCAGAAAGTTCCAGGAAGTACTTTGGCGGGCACTTTAAAAGCGTTGATTTACAATAGTCACATAGAGCAACGACATGTGTGTTTAGTTACATACATTTGAAAAGTAAAAATAGCAAATATTTAATATTTAACTGTTAGAAGTCTATTCTAACAGTTATCCACCTCATTGACATATTTGATTTTAGGCTAAAGTTCCCTTGTTTAAAGGAACAGTGTGTGAGATTTAGTGGCATAGTAGTGAGATTGCATATGCAAGGAACAACATACCCCTCAATTCACCCCTCAGGTATCAACTATCTTTAGGATTTTATTAGGAGCTACTCTTATCAATACTCAGTGATTTATAATTTGAATATAACGAAATATTGTTTCGAGACCAGCAACAGTAATGTTTACAACAGCAAAGTGACTATACAAAGGCATTATTTTCACTGAAAACAAGTCTAAAGTGTCAATAAAATAAATAACATTCCTGACTTTATAAGGTATATAAAGGCTAATAATCAATGATGAAGAACACAGAGATCACACATCATGTCATTTCTCCTGTCCTCTGTCCTCTTGGCGGTTTTGTTTCAGCCAGCAGAGAAGTTTACAAGAACAAACTAAGATAAACAGACTACAGACAGACAGCTTTTGTTTTAGCTTGTTGGTAAAAAAAAGAAGAAGGTTTTGGCCGAGCTTTCATGCTGTGAAATAAAGTGGTGGTGGATGAGAGACTGGGGACAAAGGGTGCCGAATAAGGTTTTGCTTTTCTTTACATTTTCATGCTTCTTGAACAGATGTATGGATAAAGAATTGGATTTGTACTCGCAAATGTTCTATTGCACTAACAGTAACATACTCTTCACTTCACCTGGTTCACTTCAGTGTCTCCACCTTAGCCTCTCTGCCAAAAGGCATAACGATTCTTATAGTTGCAGGTGATCATACATCAACTGTAATGTGTTCTACAAGGGACTTTATGAGAACAATCCCATATTCTGAGCAACAGCGAGATAGTTTTTGTATATATATAATATATATACATATATACAAAATGCTCCCTAGTATATGCTAGAAGTAGCTGCTAAGAATATGGGATTATTCTCATAAAGTCCCTTGTAGAACACATTGCAGTTGATGTACAGCATCTGCTAAAATGGAGTTAATATCCATGCAAAGTTTCAAGTATATGTGTGAGTTGCCTGTGTGCCTCTCCATCACTGAACCCTCTTCCAAACTAAATTCTAAATTGGTCTTACAAACCAAAACTATGCATGTGTCATTCTGTCTGCGTGTTTCTGAATGTGTTAATAAAGGTTACACATATTTGGTTTCACAACATTTCTTTTTTCTTTCCTAATTTTCTTTCCTTCCCATGATCCATGAGAAGGTTTCCAAAAGGTTTCCAAAAGTAGTCTCCTTAAATTCGTCATCACAGTTTCGACAGAAGGTTATGTGGGTTGATCTTGTGCAGGTATGGAATCCTGGGTGGTATCCATTTGTTTGAACTGGGAGCATAGAAAGAAAAATCTGCAGTCTAGATGATTACATTTTCATCCATGTCTTTCAGAATAATCCCAACAACCTCTCTTTATCAGTTTTCAACAAAGACTACTGATGCTAAGGCATCACAACTGTTTGTTTTTCCTGGAAACTCTAAGGTTTAGTCACGGTGGTGTGCTGAGTTCCACAGCAGGTCTAAGGTGGAAAAAGAGAGGGAAACATACAGGACAAGTCCAGTCTGGTCTATATGTCCTTCCCTCCTGTTGGAGCACAAGCCCACCCTACACCTCACATTCCTCTACAAATACCCCATCTTATCACACAGTCTCTGTACATTACAAAACAGCACCTTCAAAACAACACTTGTGCAGGAAGAAAGGAGAACATCACCTAATTTTTCAATTTTCCTATCAAGTTCAGAGGACACGGAATAAAGGTAGGCATCTTTTCTATTCACTTTTTATTCACATCGATAGTCTGAGCTTTGAAAAGAGATACGATTCTGCAAAAGACAGAGGATGAAAGGATTGGTTGAATGCATTTTATTGGGCAAAAGCAAAAATCACAGACAGTGCAAATAAACAGCTGTTAAAAATAAAATAAAAGGTATTAATGGCTCAGCAGCATCTTTGTGATTTTTGTCTGCGATCCCGGTTTTAAGGAACATTTAAAAAAATGTATTCAAAGGGGAAAATGATCTTTAGGAATATGAACAAACATTTGATTTTAAATCCACGGATCCTCATTAGATTAGTTTCAGTGTTCAATCTGCTCTGAAAGTTTGTGATCTGAGTTGGGTCACATACACTTAAAAGTAAGATGTGTTTGTCGTGGTCTAAAACCTCTCCTTTGTTATTTCACAAAATGTATGGGGAAGGAAGATTTAATGGTCATCCGGGTTATAATCTTTTATTGAAATATACAAAATAAATGCAACAAAATGGGCTCTAGTTGTTGATAGATGGTAAAGGATAGTTTGAATTGTTGGTATGGATGGAGAACAAAGGGCAGAGCTTCGTCACATGAAAAGGAGTTTAAACATATACTGTGTAAAAAAATACACACATGTCTAGAGTGAATATAGTATAGATAGTTCAGTTTAGCACCTCCCTTTATGTCAAATTTTCTTTTAATATTGTTTTTGTTTTAATGTTCAATATCAAAACATACCATTCATTATAATAAAGAAATAGCAATCAAACTGTTTAACATTTTTTTATCTATAATTAATTAAATGTCCTCTGACTCGTGATCAAAATTATTTCCTTCATCTGCATCACTTTTCATGCAAAGAATTAGACACGTGTGAGTCCATTGTCCTTCCACTTTAACTATACCTTTCATCTTTATTTAGTTGAATCATAAAATGAAATTGAGATAAATAAGTGAGGCAGATTTTCCAAAATAGAAGATTTGAGGGAGTGGCTCGGCCAATCCTGGGTGGAGACCCGGGAGGCCGGAGCCTGTCAGGACATGAATTTGTGTTGAAATGTAGGCCAAAGCAACATAAATGCCTGCTAGAGTGAACAAGTGTTTGTCTGTGTGTGTTCATTCTTTGATCTTGGATCACTGCAAAAGATTCAACAACTCCTACATTCTACCCAAAGAAGGAAAACAAGAAGAGTTTAACTTAAACAGCACTGAAATACTAGGAATTCGAAGTAGGATTTAAAGTTAATAAAAACAAAAATAAACAATGTAGAAACCTTAGATCCTGTGAGACCAATTTAAAAAAGCAACCCACCCCCTCAGATGGCTGGGGATAGAAAGTTGTTAAGAGAAAAAGACAATTACAAACATTAAGATTAAACTGAGGGCAAAAGAAAATGTAAAGGCTGCACAGTACTGAAACGTAGTGCTAACAGCTGTAATTTTACCCTCCTGTCTCTGATTCCTCTACTAATTCTGGTCCTATTACAGAATGGGAACTGCTGGAGTTCAGATTGTAAGTGTGTCCCTCGGGGTCCTCGGCCTGATTGGGGTCATCGTATGCTGCGCTATCCCACACTGGAAAGTGTCCTCCTTCACAGGAACCAACATCGTGACTGCAGTGGTAATGAAAAGCTTCAGCCTTTTGTTATGAAATGTCATGAGGATTAACTATAATATAAAAGTTAAATATTTCAGAGTTACATTTCACCAGTGGACATGCATGACATGATGACTGATCTTTCTTTTTCTGTGTGTGTTGAGTAGAGCAATGAGGAGGGTCTGTGGACAACCTGTGTGGTACAGAGTACCGGCCAGCAGCAGTGCAAGAAATACGACTCCCTGCTGGTGTTGGCCTCTGACCTGCAGGCCGCCCGCGCCATGACCATCATCAGCAGCATGTTATGCATCCTCAGCATCCTCATGCTGTTCTGCGGGGCCGACTTCACCATCTGCATAGAGAACGAAGACGCCAAGCCCAAGATCAGCCTGGTGGCCGGTGTGGGCCTGCTGCTGGCCGGCCTCTTGGTGATCATCCCCGTCAGCTGGTCCGCCCACAATGTTGTGCAAAACTTCAATAACCCCCTGGTGCACCCTAACTCGAAGATGGAGCTGGGAGCGTGTATCTTTGTGGGTTGGGGGGCCGGTGTGCTGCTCCTTCTGGCTGGAGGTCTGCTCTGCTGCTTCAGCAGGCCCAAATCTGGCAGCTCCGGTGGAACCGCCAAGTACTACAGCAACAGCGCCGCCTCCGCCCCCAATAAAAACTACGTGTAGTGGCTTCATGAAGAGGACTGGTGTTTGACATAATTGAAGGGAGGGGGTTTTAGTTGGTGAAAGACTGGGGGGCAAGAAAGTAGATGACACCAGGGGTTGTTTTTGGGAAAAACAGAAAAAGTGTCTGTAAATACTGACCTGCCCTGCCTTTTTAGACCCCTTTTAGCCTCATATTTTACAAATAGTTAAGATCAATTCTGTCCATATTTCATGTTTATCACTATTCTAATATTTTTCTAATACTAATATTAATACTTTTCAAGCTGCTCAAGATAGTTTTTACCAAAGGCACCTTAGTGAGTATCTGTGTGCACTTGTTTCTCTAAAAGTCCATGTGACATTTTAAACAGTTTATAAAACATTTGCTGTTGCTAATTTTGTTTTGTTTCTCATTTTGTGAGATGATAAGTATACATGATTAAAATTGTGTGTAATTCAAATGTGCGTTTCATGTGTATTTCATTTCACAAAAAAGTCAAAACAGTATTTTGAAAATACAGAAGATTTTATTCCAAACTAAATGCATATATTAAAATAGGATTTTTTTAAAAATTTATCAGACAAACAAATTCAAGCCAAAGAAAAAAACAACTGTAGATTTCTCACTACAATCAGATTTACAACAGCACTCTCTTCTCTTAATGTCTTTCTTTGCTCCTTTTTTTCTCTCTTAACTTCTACTTTTGATTTATTTATCTTGTTTATCAAACCTCTCTAGTTTAATGATTGCTCTCCAGCTCCTTCACACGCTTGGTCAGCTCCTCTACCGCCACCTTGAGGTCTTTCACCTCCTTTCTCAAGGACTGAACCTCCTGAAAAAAAGACAGACACAGATGGAGTTACAATGTGATGGAGGATGTTTGATTACACAAATATTGTAGAATCGGTCGTCCAAAGGAGTCTGCCTAAGGATCTGAGGGACTCCACCTCTGTGGACACTTTTAAAAGAAACCTTAAGACAAAACTTTTTAGCCTGGCTTTTACATGAGGTGCCTCGTCATTTGTTGGCCTGGTTTTTAAGTCTTAAAGGGACAGTTCACCCTAAATTCTGTAGTTACCTGTAGTGCTATCAATCTAGACTGTGTTGATGCGAGTTGCCTAGTTTTGGAGATATCGCTACGGCCCATATCTCCAACACTAGACAACTCACACCAAAACAATCTAGATTTATAAATAGCACTGGAGGGAAGTGGAAAATATGTACTGTCCCTTTAATGATCATACTATTTTGATCTCTTGAGTCCGTTTAATGTAGTGACTTTTATTCATTTGAACATTTTATTGTTTATACTTGTAATGGTTTTTCTATTTCTTGTTTTTGTTTTGTTTCTTGTCTGTGCTGTTTTAATCCGGCTCTGTGAGGCACTTTGATATGAAAGGTGCTATGAAAATAAATAGATTTGTTGTTTAAGTTCAGTCGTGGGACTCATTTTCAAGCCAAGCATTGTAGAAGGATTTTCCAGAGTAATAAAAGTGGTTACATATTGTATTCAGTGTTCAGATCCTTCACTGTATAAATACTTGGGTGCAAGTAAAAGTCCTGCAACCAAAACTGTACAGAAGACTTGTCAAGTATAGAAGCATTATCAGTAAAATGTACTTAAGTAAAAGTACCATTATACATGTAAGTGTATTAAATCTTTTGTTAGTTAAACATTTTCACTGACTGTGGAGTTTTAATAACTTTATATGCAGTACTAATGCAACATTATTATATTTAAGTTGGAATTAATTTGATCTCTGCATGTAAAACAGTGTTAAACAAAATATCTTGAGACTAAAGCTGTGAAATAAATTATATTTCCCTGTGAAACGTAATGGAGTAGAAGTATGAAGGAGAAGAAATGGAGTCAAGTCCAAGTCAAATTGAAATTAATTACATTACTTGAGTAAATGTACTTAGTTACATTCCTCCACTGCAACTTTTGAAACAGTTTCAACCCTCAATGTGACGTGATTTTTAGCTTTAAATGTCTCACCCCGCTGTTGTCCTGTTGATTCCCAGCAGAAGCAGTCGTGGTCTTCAGGAGACTCTTGTGAACTTTGAACTCCTTGGCTTTGGTGGTTGCTACAAACCCGTCCTTGAGAGAGATCCGAATAGGCTGGCCATCTTTTCCTTGAAACCAGTCATCAGCTTCGACTGAAGGCTCGGGACCGATGGTGTCTGGGTACAGATCCTCCTGGAACAGATCAGACTGCACAGGCAGAGAAGGAAAGAAGGAGTTAAGAAATGCACAAATGAATCTACATGCAAACCCATGAACTAATTTTGACTGATAAAAGCACATGTCATGTATATTGTACCTTGCGTGGCACCGTCATGACTACAGGCTCACATTTCCTCTCATGGAGTTTGTAGAACCTGAAGGAAGAAATATTTGTTCATATTTTAGGTTTTGTAGCACAACGCTAGCGAGGCTAAAAATACGGAGCTACTTTTGATTTTATAAAGACATAACTAGAGGAGGATGTAACTAAGTACATTTACCTGCTGATTTCACACTTGTTAACCTCCAGGCCCCTCTTGGGCATGTATCCCATCCCCTTCTGGCTCTCCTTGCTGCTGTACATGGACAGGTAGTGGACATAAGGGGCTTCATCGGTCACCTCAAAGTAACGAATACTGCTGTCCCCCTGTGAACAAGATGTGAGTGTCAGCTGCATGTGTCCGTGTGTGGGTGAGACAGAAACAGAAAGACGGTTATTTCGACATCTGAATCTAACCTTGCCACAGAGGTAGACGATGCCAGTGTCTGGGTCGAAAAATGGCAGAAGAACGCCACTACTGGTGTCCAGTTCCTGCAGGGTCAGGGGCTCCCCGAAGTTATTCTGTGAGAAAAGATTCAGATACAAAGAGTTAGATGTTTGATTGTATCCTATACAAGATCCTGTATGAAAAAGGCTGCTCGAGCAGACTGCAGGTTAGCCGAGGACTTATTTAATTGAGCTTGATGTGGGACATTGCACAGCAGCACCGCCCTTTGAGCTGTAAGCTGGCAGTTGTGAAACAGAAGTGTTGTAAATACAGTAAATAACTCCAAAGTAACAGTTTGGTAACATTTTGAAAAGTACCACAAAAAGTCCAACTATCAAGATTTTCACTTGATGAAAATCAAAATCTCTAAAAATGTTTCTTTCTTTCTTATTGTTTTCAGCTGCATTTTTCAGTTTCACTATGCAGAATGAATTATGAGCAGAGGGTAACACTAGCAGGCTGTTGTGTAGGCTTGCATATGCTGAAATTATGTAATTTTGGAAAATTCTTACCTAGGTGACATTTTGTAGAAAATCCATCAATACAAATTGTTATTCCAAGCACAGTATTTTTATGTCATAAAACAGTGGTTATCAAACTTTATTTTCCCCAATTACCTCTATGACATATTTTTCAGCCAAGTACCCCGTGACCAGCACAAAAGCCTTTTCGTATAAAAAAAGACGATTTAAAGAGGAAGGCTACAATACAGCGCTGCGCCATCAGTGTCTGATTTACTAAACCACAACCTTGTAACTGAAAAACAAATGTTTCAATCCATTTACCTTATATTGACTCGTCATTTAATATCCAAACTGGCCTCCCTTTCACACTGAACAAATGTAATCATGAACGTGATTGTGTATGCAACATGTGGTTATTGAACTTACATTTTCAATTGTTATTGAACTTATTATTGTGTAAATATTTGAGGAATTATGCATGACTGCTATTTTTTTTAATTACCTTAAATGAAAATCTCGCATACCCCATGCAGTACTCCAAAGTACCCATAGGGGTACTCATACCCCAATTTGAGAAACACATCTGGAGGGGAACTTTAAAGGCCCTGACCACCTATTTTCTTACTAAAGTAAAAACATAATACTGCCAAAGGTGGAACTGGTATTTCTGATTTTAATGTCTTCTTAATACTTGTACTTAAAATACTTCAACTGTATGTGTCACTCTGAGAACTCCAATAAAAAGAGTTACAATAGAAGAATAAGAATGATGAATAATAGTAAATTGAGGACTGTTTTCATCTAGAGACTTGGACATGGAGGTAGTTGACACTCACTGGGTCCCACAGCGCCACCTGTCTCTCACTCATGCGACTGAAGCCGGTACTGAGGATCTTCCCGTCGGACACGAACACAGCCCGTATAGGCCTGGAGCCCTCATGAGGCTTCTCCTTCTCCTGTAGGTGTGAGAGGCGGAGCAGAGATGGAGGCGTTACAGACAGAACTATTCAACAATACTTCAGTAATAAGTGTTCTGGATGGAAATAGAATTACTACTTATGAGTAGAAAAATATTATCATATTATTACATTTTAGATATTGAATTATACAATTCATTAATACCATGAGAATATCAAAAACAATTATCTTCTTCTATTATTATTATTATTATTATTATTATTATTATTAGCATGTGCTAGAGCAAAAAGATGATAATCGGATGAATGAAGTAAACAGCTGTTGTTTAAAAATGTTCCATTTCAGACTCATAACAAAAAAATAATATCAAATTCCTATAATTTAGCACTGAAATCCATCAAATTGCTGAAGAAAATACTTACTTAGATGTCACTCACAAATTTAAGAAACAATTTGTCAATTAGCAATTAGTCCATTGAACAAAAATGTAAGCGAAAATGCCCATAATTTGCAGCCTCCCAAAAGGCCGTAAATGTAAGACATTTTAGAAGATTAATATCTTTAGATGTTTGTTAGACGAAAAAAGCAATTGGAAGACGTCCGTTTGGGTTCTGGGAAATCGTGATGGTTATCTTTTTGTATTTTCTGACCTGTTGTGGACAAAATTATTAACTAATTAATCTAGAAGATAAATCAAAGATTAATCAATAATGAACAAAAATCCGTAGATGCAGCCCTAATGATTACGGTCTGTGAGTTAAATGTCACTCCAGATGTTTGCTGACAAATATAATTTAAGACTTGTTTAAAGGGAAGGAAAGAAAAAAGGAAGGATAGATGGAAGGAAGGAGAGGAAGCCTACAATGAGGACGGTGCCCTTGCGTGGGTCCAGCACTCGCATGGTCTTGTCCTTGCAGGAGGTGAGAATCTGGGAGCCGTCCGGGTTCCAGCAGGCGCTGTAGATGAGGTCGGTGTGAACGCTGTCGATTCTTACCACTGCCTCCCCACGAGCCACGTTCCACAGGATCACCACGTTATCACAGCCTGCATGGACACAACAGCCACAAAGAGGATTCACAGCGGGTCATTATAAAGCCATTGATCTACTGTATAAATCAAATTAATTCCAGGTAAGTATCACGGTAATATTATGCCTAACTTTCTCATTAAAAACATAGATGTTTTGCAAGTCTTTATCACTAACTGGCATAAAAGATTCAGCCTCAGATGAAAGTTTCCACACTGACTTCCCAAAACCAATCAGAGTTGCTGTGTTCATTCCTGGAAAATACCCGCTGATACACATGACGGGACATGTTTGACATTTCTAGTGTGTTTGGTGATAGCTGCCACAGACTAAAGAGAGGAGCAACACATACAGAATCTGAACTTCATCAATTTATTTATTAATTTAATCAAATGCAAAAGACTGTTTGACCCACCTACACTAGACATTTACCATCTCTATCCCATGCTTAAAAGCTGGAACATCCATAATCAAAGGTTTGAACTGTATATCAGCAGTTACAGCTAGTTTATCTATTATGAATATCATGATATTATCAATTTCATCCACATTGTCCTGTCCTAGTGACTCTCAGCGGTTGGTGTTCAGCAAGAGTTTGCTGTCTAACACAGTAGTTCAACCTGGTAATGCTGTGAGCCTCAGTAAGAGTGCTGATCAGTGTTCAGAGTGAACAAAGTGGGTGGAGGCTGTGAGAACTTCCTGTTCAACGAAGGTGTGAGTCTCATTCAACAAAACATCTGTGACATTACAGCACCCTGGTTCCTCTAATATACAAGCCAGGAGCTCTCTGTCAGAGCATTAAAAGCAGCTCTGGGTGCAGCTGGTTTATGAGGTGTAATAGTACCTGCACTCAGCAGCACATTGTGGGCGGTGGGGTGCCAGCTCAGGATGCCAACACGCTTGGAGTGGCCTTCCAGCTTGACCACAGGTTCTGTGAGTTGCGTTGTCAGCCCGCCTTCCGGGATCTCCCAAATCTATTTAGCAAGGAAACAAATTTGATTCTGAATTTACAGCATTACAACAAAACGTCATGTCATACTTTGGTGAAAACGGAATGATTCTGTTACGTTACAGTGATGCCTACCATGACACTGCAGTCCTCAGAGCCGCTGGCAATGATGTTGTCGTTGTGAGGACAAAACTCGATGTCCAGGACCGGTCCCGTGTGGCCGCACACAGTGGGGTAGGACATGTCGACACGTCCTGTCTGCAGAGACAGAACGGTGAATTCAACTCTAAAAAAAACTCAAGTGTTCAAGGGACTGAAAGGTAACTATGATAGAGTAAAAAGGCCTTGATGATTTAGTCAAGGTGGGAGGAGGAAGTTGATAATCAGCTGATACAAATTCAACAGCTATGTCTCCAATTACACATAATGTCTAATAACTGGGTTAGAGAGGAGATCAGGCCCCGGGAGGTGAAATCCCATGGTTCTTCTGGTTCTCCTTCCTTGTCCCAATATGGGCTGCCCTCCCTCCAAATATCATGCCTGACTCACGGCATCATGACCAATAATGCTGTGTTTCATCTGTTTGACTGAAAAAGTATAAGAGACATTTTCTTTCCCCTGAGAACTGTATACACGAGAGATACGACCATGAATAATGCGTATTCCTCAGGGTTCACCAAGTTGAATTTAAGACTTTTCACATAGAATGCAAATGAATATCTTTTTCACTGTCGTATGAAAGTATGAACAAAGCCTCGAGGGGTTTATTTTTATATCACATTTTGTAAATTATTTTAAAGATGAACAAAATTAAAAATTAAAACATAACATAAAGCCTAAAACCAAAATAAACTGTTAATCTGAAAATGTACCCTTCTCTGATTGTATGCCCTATATAAGAATTGAGAAGCCGAGAGGAACATGCAAGCGATCCAGAGCAAAGCGTCATGTAGTTCACATACATTGACAAATTCAGATGCTCAGATGACCATAAACAATGTTTGCAGTTTTCAACTTTTTCAGGAAAAACAATAAAGGGTTTCAAGTCACCTAACGTACTATATAGGTGTCTGCAGAATAACTGGGTTGAAGCCACATCCTGCCGCTCTGAGCTGACAACGAACTCCTAATATGGTGAAAACCTCTCAACAGCAGAGCGAGTGACGTGTAGAAAGACTCAAAGTCAGCATCAAACTTCCTTATTTAGCTGAATGTGTGATGGTGACTGCCAGTATTCAAAATGTTAAAAGGCATGTTTTTGAAATATACAAAAATTGTACCAGTCTAATTCTAAAATGATCAACACATCCAAAAATGGTATTATAGAAAGTAGAAGGCCACAGAGAGCCAGGGTGCAGACATATTCCTCTTCTTTGTGTCAATACAACCAGGGTGTTTCCTGTGACCCACCTTGCTCAGGGGCAACACCATGAAGGCTCCTCCACCACTGGCGTCCACAATCATGGCCACAAACTTGGGGTTAACGGAGCAGAAGTTGCTGTCCCACGTCATCTGGGAGATTCGGATGTCATCGTAGCATTGGTCAGCTTTCACAGCCTGGCCAAAGACGTGACGGAACTTACTGGACCTCACAACCTTCCTGGACATGGTGAACTGGAAACAAAGCAAGGGTTAAAAAAAGGGGACAGGTTCAGAATGAAAAAGGTAGAATGTTATGTGCAGGAAGCCCGTAGTAAAAAATTGTCTCTAATAGCGAAAACAGATCTATTACTGTGCATTTCAAACGCACACCAAATGTTGTCATTTGAATGCATATACTGTTACCTGTAGAAAGCACGAAAGTGTATGCTTGTAGATTTAATGTGGAAATAAAGTAACAGCCACAAAACTGACGACACAGATGAGGGACACGACAGAGGAAAGCTTAAAAAAAAGAGGAAGTAAAAGCTTTCACAACTGCTTCCTCTAGTCTGTTACTGTTGTACCTTCATCTTTCTTTAAATTGGAATTCTGTGTCTTAATTAAATAATTGTGCATGCTGAAGATAGTTCTACAATACAGCGGTATGAAGATATAATGCTATTTACCATCAATTGAGCTGCTGTTTGGCTAATACGGCACATGAGTTACCCAAAGCGGCAGTTACACCACATCCTTCAGAGTGAGCAACAAAACCACCAACCTTTCTTTTTTGCCAAATTTGGTGTTCACACGATCTGTCATTGATTTTCCCCACATACAGTACATACTTACAAATACATAACTTATCAAGTCACAAGTTAAATAACATGCAATAAATGCATCCTTCACCAAAGCAGATTTGTGTCAAATCATACCGAAGTCCAGGCAATACCAGCTGCAAAAAACACTGCACTATTTAGCAAGACTACCTCTTATACAATACCCTGAATATGTTTTACTTTACCTCCATTTGTAGATTTTACTTCCTGAAATCTGCAGCCGCGCCTAAACTCAGACTCAGAAGAGTACAATAGCTTTGCTGCATGTGCATCACAAGACCTCTCCGGCTGCTCTACACCTAATTTAATAATCCTTTATAGAGTGAGCCGTAATTTTATCAGGAACCTAAACGCATGTCAATAATTTCTCTCTGTCGCAGTCTCTCTCTGTAGTGATGGAAAACATTGCCTGGTACAAAGGAAACAATTCACTAACTGGAAACAGGAGAACTCAAGCCATGAGCATCAAAAGATGCTAGATCCAAATCAGTTATGTTCCGTTATCCTTACCTGCTATTTACCTATAATATAATAAATGTACCTATCATAAAATGATATCTTCACAGATGTTTTGTAGGTGTAAACGAACTGCAGACAGATGTTGCAGGCCTACCTGGGAGTCGAGTAGGGGCGATTCAACTCAAGGAGTTTCAGAGAAGCACCAAACACCCTGCTACCAGAATGAGGACTTAGAGGAGCCGGTAGGTTAAAGTACACTACAAAACGACATGGAGGAAGTGAGAGCTTCAGATGAAGGTGGAAGTGGGAGGTGTCTCGTTTGACAGTTCAGGGTTGAAAAACCGAAGAAGGCCGCATGAAGGGGAAGGCGGTGGAAGTTTTATGAGGTCTTTTGTAGGATTATATCAAGATTCAAATGTCTGGAAAGTGCACGCTGTGTGACTGTCTGTAGATTGTATGTAATCCCTAGATTTCTGAAAATTGCAGTGATCATTAAAGGGTTAAAAAGCATTACCAGGTCACGGAAGCTCCAGACTGAAGTGATGCACTGCTGAGAAGTACAGTTGAGAGCTGAAGGTGCAGTTTACCCTGAAATGTGAGAGGAACAGTTTTGATGAGACGCCTGTGAAACTGTCAGGAGTAAAAGTGCTTCAGGATCATTTATTCTTGATTATCTGTATTCACCCAGAGTTTGTTTGTATCAATTTAAAGTATATACTGGTAGTCTACTGTGGAAAAAGCAGATACTTTATTTGACCCTTCTTGATTTCTCTCATTTTGAACAGTATTTGTGAGGAGTTTATATCTAATAATCCCATAATTTAACCAATATTACACTTGTTCTAATACTTAAACCAGTTTTAATTTAATTTAAGTTTTAGACACGATACATCAATTTCCCTCATGGAGATTAGTTAACTAGTGTTACTGTGCTGTACCGTACTCTGGCTGAGGAATCAGCTTTGTAAAGCCTGAAGTCAGTCAGGAAAGAGCACCGTTGAGTTGCATAATGGGAAATACAGGATCCAGTGTATTTGGAGTCTTAACAGGCAGTAACCTTTGGTTCTGAAAAGTGAAATTGATGTCCGTCTCTTGCAAGACCCTAAACTTTAAGGACACGTAATGCTTAGTTGCTGAAACACCTGTTTCAACCCCTCACCCTGAGCTGTAACCTTTAAACATCCTGTGTAACAAGCTCTGGTCTAATCTCCTCCTTGATTAGATGAGGTCAAGTCATTTCTTTCTATTGTAGTGAGGTCATTCAATACTTATTACACATGCACACACACACAATGCATTTCCTACCCCACCCAACCCCTAACCTCACCCATCAAAACTACAAGACCATCCACAGCCTTTTCCCTAACATTAACCTAAACCCATTTTTGTCACACCTCTGCCACTTCTATCTAGTTTTCTCCACCTTTCAGTCACCTAATCAGTTCATTCAGTGCACCTGCCAGTCACACTCACCTCATCAGCTCATTACTCTCACCTGCTCACTCTGCCTCCTTCACTATTTAAACCCCTGCCTCACACACACCCACTGCCAGATCATTGTTTGTGTTCCTACCTACCCGCCTGTTTTGCTCGTCCTGTTCCCAGTCTGCCTGCCCCCCCTCGTCTGTTGTCTTGTCCTTGGATTCCCTGTTTGTGTTTGGTTATTCATTAAAACCCTTTTTTCACTACACCTGACTGTCTGCGTTTGAGTCCTCATCATGCCTCGTGACAGTTTTACAGTATTTGTGAGGATCTCATGTCTAGTTGATTTATTTCCTAACACCTAATGGTACTAATGAAGTTCTAGCATAAATTCACCCAGGAAGACTATTCTTCTGTCCGCTCATAGGCCTGTAGTTTATTTCTCGTTCATCCTGGCATTCACTCCTCTCATGCATGCACACTCGTACTCTCCTTGTCATTGTCTGGAGCTGTCAATCATGATATCAGCTGTTCTCTTCAGTTGGTCACACCATCCATATAACACAGTGACACACCTACATTGTTAGCCTATCATCTTGCTGCTGTCTCCTTTTAAATGATTCTCTCTCTGCCTTTAGAACGATGCTGCTGTTACGAGCTCCCCATCACCGCTCAGTTTTCCACCACCCGTGTCTGGACTCCATGGGGGGGATTTATCTTGCTGCTGCTCAGGGGCATACAAATATCCCTGAGATACAAATCCCCCTGTCGAGAGTCGAGATTTATGAACACGTCTGTTTATAATCTATCCCACTAACAAGGTCTTGTACTGGTTTACTACTCAAAGAGCTGAGGTCAGTTATCTTTGCTTTTTCAGATGTTCCTTCTATCATTGGGACATTCAATCCTGCTCCACACATACATCCATACGTACATCTACATTGAGGGAATGAGTCCCTCACTGACATAATGCATTACCTCGCCCAGTGTTGTCAGGTTTGACTCCAATCAGAGCCTCAAACACGCCCAGTCATCAAAAAGATTGCAGATTCCAGTAACATTAATGAAATGGCCTTTCGACAACGTTACATTTAAAGTCAAACGTATTCTATTATATGAACAGATGTACGTTTTTACAAAGCTTTTGTCACAGAGCTGACCGAATAAAACCGTTTTAGTCTAGCTGTAATAACCCTGAATGTAATTTGGCACCATCCATCACAATGATAGCTCTAAATCTATATCTATTTTCGGAAATCTGGCAGGTCACAGGATGGGAGTTGATTTCACGATTCATCACGTGACTGGGACGGGAAAGAGTCAGTGGGAGTGAGTGGGACCAGAATTATAATAAAAAGTCAGTTTAAGTATATAAATATGCAGTTATAATATGAATAAACACAGGAATGGACAGAGATTGGGGTCGGACAATAACTTATTTTCTCTGTCATTGGGTTTGGGACGGGCCAGGAGCTCTTTTGTGAGATTGGGATGGGAGGGAAGTAAAAATCCCCTCCTGAGTCTAGCCATAATCTCCTCACTTTATACTCCTAAAACTTAAATTGTTCCTCACAAACAGAAATACAAAAGCAAACAAACACACACACACACCCCTCTAAATAACAGTAACATGGATGAAAGAGATGGTCTATAGGCAGTTTTAAAAATATAGACTTCAGTTTATTGCACAATCGTTGCTGGAGACAGAGGAGTGTGAGAGCCTGTCTGTTACACAGGACACTGATGTTGGACAGATGCGTGAACTACAGCACAGAACAAACTGTGTGTCTGCGTTCGTGCACATTAATTTGCAAGCACAGACTGGATAATGAGGCACTCTCTGGGGACGCAGTCAGCTCCCCATCAGTGCAAAGGGAGAAAGCAAATCTGACAACATACAGATTTCATGCTTGCATGGGTTCTGCTGGAGAGCTCATAGACACACACGTGAACATACATGGTCTGGAAATATAAATAAACAACCCAGGGGAATGACTGCAAACCAGCGCAGACAGTATTACAAACTGTCAGTTGTTTTCCTTTGCCTGCAGTGAGGCTACAGTAATGCCTGCATCAGTGCATATGAACCTCCACCAGATGGAGCCACACTTACTCCGTTGTCAGTTTTAAAAAGCCACGAAGTTGCAGATATGAAGAGATGATAACAGACAGACCCTCCAGAAAGCTCCCTTCATCCTAAAGGGAAGGGCTTGTCTCGTTATCTGTACACATAGACCAGTGTCATCGTTAGGATCCACAGAATAACAGTAATCAGAATAATCAGTATATAACAATACAGGTAGTCCATTATAAACAGGTCATTAACAGGCTATCCGGCACCTGTGTTGTATTAAAAAATGAATTTTGTTTCGTTAGTGTTCATACAGCATGTCATTTTTTTTTTTAAATTTTACATACAGACAAAAAGGACGAGGACCAATATTTCTGGCCAGGTTCTACTCATGTAACATGGTTTTGAGAGAAATACTCCCTTTCCACCTTTTGCCTCCCTTCTGTCCAGTCTGTGACCCAGTTCATAGCATAAACAGACTGGACAAAGAGGGCCGGTGGAGGTGGATGAAAGTCTCACAGCCATGTTCCAGACTGCAGAGGTCAGGCCTTGGATGTTACAGCTACTGTTATGGCACCCTGAGAAGTGGGAGACCCAGGATGTTGGAGCGAAGCCCTCCGTGACAGCGGATCAGAGAGCTGATTCAACGAACACATATTGACTTCACTGTTGCATATCCTTCGGCCGATAATGCATAGAGAGACCAGTGGTAGTCACGAGGTATTCACATGCCCGCCAAGACTCAAATCCGTCTTTCCCACGCGTGTAGAAAAAGTGGTTACATTTAAATGATCAAAAGCATTCTTAGTTAGGGTCACAAAAGGTCAAACAACCCTACATTAGCACTGAAACCAATTCCAGTATTTGTTTCCCCTTCTGTGTTGTTCACGTACATACGGACGCAGCTAAACACACGTCTTTGATATTAATCTGAAGCACCGCTCCGAGCCGCGTCCCTCTCAGCAGCTTCTATGTGGCAAACCATGAATCCCATTTCTTCTGATGCTATATTTTATTCCCATAACATATTGTGTAGCTATCAAAAATTAATCTGTATATCATTTGCACTGCATGTATATATGATCTACATACATGTATTTACACTATTTATATGGACTTTAAATCCGTTTCAGAATTGTAATTTACTTTAATCCAAAGCCCTTTTGAGAACGATGAGCAGTGCAGTTTCTTTGATAGTGACGTCTCTATGATCTGATCCATTCAACCCCCCCCTCCCACACACTCCCACACACACACACACACACTACCCACACGGTCATTTTTAGGAGTGAGTGACGTGGTCTGTGGATGGCTACGATGAACAAACGATTAGCTAACACTAGGAGACATCGGTGCCTGTTTTATACCTGCTTCCATGCATTTTTATCAGTTTCATTCAATGTCCAATAATACATTAGTTTTAACTTTTACATTGTACCACAGTCATCATTGTTAATGTTAATTGTTGTTAATAACCGTCAGGGTGAGGCTGGCAGACATAAGTATCTGACTCTGTGTGGAGGAAAAGAGAGGGGTGGGGGGGACGCAGTCTGAGGCTAGTGTACGTGATTACTACTGTGGGAAATCCTTCATCACCTATGATTCAGTGTTAGCACAGGAAGCAGACACCTCAGGCGCTGCTAATTTGGCATGTGAAGAGGGTCTGACGGGATTGGCAACGAGTCAATGGGCGGCTGCGACTGTTGGCATGGGAAACAAGTGCAATGTTATTCAGAAAGTAAGGAGTGCCTAGTGTTGAGCATGAAGGAACAGAGCAATCGTTACTTTGACTCGAGAGTAGTGACTGAAATACCACAGAGGAACACAGTGTGCAACACAATCAAGGACATTCACACAGGACTGGTGAGACCGATACATGACATGAGGGCACAGGGGTTCATTCCTGTTTGGCGAGGGAGGCCAGCTTAGTGTACAACTGTAAAAAGACACAAAGTGTCGAACCTTTAAAAAGTGCTACTCAAAGAACACAAATCCAGCTGCAGAGCAACAGCATCGCATTTAAATAAGAAAGCATAAATAATGGCAATAACGTGCACCATTCTGCGGCAGTAATGACTGACGTTTATATATCATCAACATCTAGAGTTAATGTACAAATAGACATCCAAATACAGTAAATCCATTTTCATTAAAAACAGAGAATATTTGACATAAATAGCATCTTTAGAAGGGTGCTGCACAGGTTTCTAATGTCACATAACAATGTTGTTTTTCTTGCTGATTATTGTGAATGTTATGTGAATGGCAAAGCCTAGAGACATTATCACTGAGTGACCGAGAAGTCAAAAATCGCCGGAGAAAGAAGAGTGTGGGCAGAATATGAGGAGCTAATCCTTGGGATTTTCTCTGACCTCTAACTTGATCTGTCAGCCTGTGATCCTGCACAGCAACAACGTAAACAGTTTAGACAGCTGACGGAAACGTAATGTTACCTGTACCAGCAAATAAATACAACACAATAAATATTATATATATGTTTCATTACAGTGTTTTGTGCATATTGTGCCAATAAGCAGGTCTTTTTGATCTGTAGTTTGTCTAAAGGTCCAATTGTTTAGGAACTCATAATTACATTTAAGATATCTTAAAAAGTTGGCAACGGTTAAGTGGAAACCCTTTAACATTCAGTGCATCTCGCTGCCACACGTGCATCACGCACTAATGCACACGTGGTGGTATGTCAGTGTAAAGCTCAGTCTGTTCAGGTTTGTTCTGTCATTTTAAAATGGCTTTTCTACAGAACAAAATGTTAAACTCAGCAATTAGTTTATAACTTAAAAATGAAACAACCTCATCTTCCATAAAAGGAAATAGTGACGACGTTCTCCCTTACAATGGGAGGTTAAAAAAAATGGCTCAATTTCATTGGCACTGAGCTCAGGTGAAAAGGAAACATGATCGTAATGTGTGATACGAGCCACATGAAGCAAGTAAACTCAAGTGTGCCAGCACGCTCAGGAATGAACCCCCTCACCCGCCTTCATCTCCTCGTCATCTTGTGACAGTGAAGACGAATCAGTTTGACACACATAAAGAAAGAGGCAGCGGCAAAACACAGGGAAACGGGGACAGAACCAGTCCAGTAAAACTCAGTGAAGACTCTATAAGTGCTTTGTGACACACTGACAGTATGTACATGTAGTATAAAAATATAGGTGCGAGGGTGTCTGAGTGTGTGTTGTGTGTGTGTGCGCGATGAGTTGAGATGTGGATGTGCTGCATAGGTAGCAACAGTGACATCTGAGGACTTGAGCATGTGATATCGTCTCACCACAGACTGTCTTAACCAACCACATCGACTAATGCTCAGGTAAAACTTCTATTGTTAAGTAAAGGCATGAAACTTACCTTTTACTAGAGCCTTTTGTTAAGACTTTTTAGTGTTCAAAACGTTTTCATTTTGCTGTGTATGTGTGAGTGTGTGTCCGTATACACCTGTGCGTCCATGTTTACGGAGACTGACAGAGTCAAAATGCTTGTGCGTGTTACTTGACATACTTTTGCCTGCATTCGCACAAAGTACCAAGATGGACGTAGATATGGACATTCTGAGTTTGAGCGCACGAGGTGAACACATGCACGAACAACATATTGTCTCACCTCACCGCATCAGTTCTCCGATTTCCCCTCCCTCCCCCTTCCCTCTGTAGACACCCCCCTCCCCTCAGAGGTCCGTTGACCTCACAGCAAAGTGCTCCTTGTGAGGCATCGGGGGTCAGTCTGAGGGACAGTTGTAGCTGTTGATCCACAGCAGGTCGTCTAGCACACCCCAGTGCAGGTACAGGATGGAGCCTACCACCAGTACATGCATGATCTGGTGGCTGTTGCACCAGTAGTCAAAGAGGCCCGGGCGGAAGCGCTCCGGGATGCGCGTGATGTTGATGACCCCGCCCAGCACGGCCAGCGCATCCATCGTGAGGAAGTGGCGTAACGATGTGGGACTGCCGCCGCCCACGCCCGCCCAGCGCAGCAGGAAGAAGGAGAAGCGGAACACCGCCTGCCAGGCGAAGGATCGCAGCCTGCGAACGCTGCTCCGAGCCGTGACGGCGCAGTAGATGGCGTGGCTGGACAGAAGGATGTAGACCAACAGGGCCACGGTGCGGATGAACGGGTAGCAAAGCAGCGTGCTGTAGACGATGGGCAGCGCCCCTGAGACAAGAAAACACACAGAGGAGCGTCAGCAGAGAGGTGGAGCGCTGATGATGCCCGACTCAGCAGCAATGTAACGCCTGGTGCAAGTCACAGCGCACAAAGGTCAAAGTGTTTGAGCGGAGTGTGACACGGCTCTGTGGGGGGAGCAGCCTTCACATCGTCTGGTGTTTAGTTGCTGCCTGACTATGTTGACTCATGTGAAGGTCATGTGGAAGCTCCTTATGAAACGAAGCTTTCCAGATATGGTGACTTTGGTGAAATGAAAAAAAACGTTTCAGGAGGGGGAAAATTGACTGAAATGCGGAAAAAAAAACACATCAAGTCCATATAGAGAGCTCTTTCTGTTCAGCAGAGGAGCCTCGACTTTGTAGACTGAAAACAGTTCTGTTTTATTGGACTCATCTAGAACTCAAACGATAAGTCAATGATTCTATTAGCCGATCAACAGAGAATTAATCAGTAATCTTTAAGCGAATTTTTAAGAATAAATGCAAAGAAATGCAATGTTCCATCATCTGAAATGAGGATTTGCTGGTTTTCTCTGATCTACATCATAGAGAATGAATATCTTTGAGTTTTGGACTGTTTTTCAAACAAAGTGAATAATTTGAAGAAGTCACCTTGAGGAATAGTGTTGGACCTTTTTATACTATTTTTTTCAGAAATGTCATAAACAAGGTTAACCCATAGGACCTAGCCCTATTTTTAGGCCTCTGCTCGAAAATTGCATACCCATACTCAAGAGAGTCCTCAGCTCTAACTACAAGGTATATTTTAATAATTTTGATGCTAGAATACTGGTAACACTTGTGAGATGTGTTGAATTGTGTAAATATCGTGTATATGTTACTGGTTAATAACTGATACACTTATGGCACAGCTCAAATTGAAAAATTTCTAGGTTCGCCTGAAAAAAAGCACTTGTATTGAACATTTAATTTTTTTTTTAAATAATGCAGCTGCAAGCCTAAAAACACACCACAGTCATAGAACAACACGTTTTACATGTCCCCACAACATATTTTACTTCGATTGAGTGAAGCAGGCCAGCATAAATGGTCATAAAAATCAAAATTTTGATTTTCGGAATCAGCTGTTGCATTGCTGTATACTAATTTTATATACTATATAACTAAATATTAACTACATATTCACTTTTCTTATCACTAAGAGTGTTCAATAATCCTAATAAATTAGTTAGACACCATTTTGAATAATTTTGAGCAGTTATGATGTGTCATATCTGTCATTCATAACAATAAATGGCTCATAATGTGTGTCTATGTGACCCTGGTAAGGCCGATTTACTCGTGTGAGACATTTTTAGATGCGGGATAGTCCAACGGGAGCCATGCAGGGGTGTTTGATCGTATCCGGGTCTGTTTACTGACTAAAAATCGCAAAATGCTGGGCGAACCCCCTTCTCTACATGGATTGCTCCACCCCACAGAATCGTCTGCCATTTTGTGATTCATTCCGCCAGCGCATTGATCTCACTCACAGACATGCAGCAGAACATGGCGGGCAGAGCTGTGCAGAAATCGGCTCGAATAAATCCGTTTTTCATCGCCAAAAAGTTTTTTTACTCAATTTTTTTTTCTCGTGACCTGCGGCTGATGTTGGCATGCATACCCATAACTTTTGAACGGTTTGAAAGAGAGTAATTTGGACGCCGCTGTGCGTTTCCGGGTCGAATCGTGCCCCTCCTGCATGTGTTCATCCGCCATGTGCGATCCTGCTCCGTGATGAGAGAGCCATAGAGTGAGCATAGGTCGTCGATTTTTGGCCAAAATTGTGGCAAATCTTCTAGATATCTTCCAGATATGATATTAGTTCATGTATAATTGTGTTTGCAGTGTTTATAATGGCTGGTATGATGATGTTGCTCGGACTTTTCCCATTAATTCGATATTTAATATGTCTGGAGCAATAATCATATTTCTTTATGAAAAATGCTTTCTACGACACGCTGAATGCTGCACACTCTAAAACAGCCCCCCCGTGGGGGGCTCTCGGGTCCTATTAATGAACTGTTAGTTGCAGCCCTAGACTCATCCTGCCAAAATATTATTTATGATTAGTTACTTTGTGATTTCATGAATAAGTTGTCACTATAAGCCTTCAGTAGAGTCAGGCGACACTGACAATAAGATTATTAAAAAATGATGGACATCAAGTATTAAACAAGCGACAGCGGCGACAGCAATAGAGTGCTGCAGGATTTCGAGAACACTCGGAAATGAGTCACCACAATGAAATGAGTTCTACAATATAGAATCACTAGATAACCCTCTCGTGGCTTTTGAAGCTTTTTACGTGTCCTAAAAAAAAGGTGGCTGCTAACAAGTGGTCAAATGAGAGTACAAAACGTCATCACACCGACTAGTCCGACCTTTAGCTTCGTGGTGGTGACGTCATGTGACCGTGGGAGAATCCCATTGGCTGTTCGTCGAGGTAACCAGTGGGACGCTAACTTCTGGGTCAGGCTACAAACACAGCGCTCTGTACCAAGAACCAAGCTATCGACTTCTAATCGGCACGCGCTCTGCACAGCCAATGTTAATTATTACTGTATTACCAGAATAATGTGGATTTTATGGCCAAGCTAAGTTGTATGTTCACAACTATAAAATAAGTGAAAATGTAGCCCGTGTCACTTTGGTTTTAATGGGCTAATACAGGCAGCATGGATGGATCAATAATCATTTAAGAAGTTGGATCATTGCTTATATTGGCCAATTGACTCAGCGGTCAAATATGTTCTGACAAATCAGTGCCGGTGCACCTCTAAGCAAACCACTGCCGTGGTAAATCATTGACAGTCAATGAAGAAATTTCCCTGTTCAAAGTAAACAGAGCATCAATTACAGAAGGCGGGCTGACAAACAATCCCAAATGATGAACGGTGAAGAAACCTGCTGAGCTTCCAGAAGGCTTACCCAACGTGTTGATCATGCAGATTCCACACACGTCGAGTTTGAGGAGGGTGTGGTAGACGGGCTCGCCTCCCTCATGGTTCATGAAGAGGTGGTAGAGCACAGAGCCCAGCTGGGGCGACAGGCAAGCCAGGAAGTGCACCACGCCCAACCACGTGACGCTGATCTGAGACCAGGGGATGTTGAGAGGCAGCAGCACCAGAAAGCAGACCAAAGGGATGCCTGCAGAGGGAAGGGCAGAGAGACAGAGACGGAACAGGTTGTTAGAGTCAGTTTTACCGTTGATGTAATTAAGCTTAAAGCTTTTGTGTAGCTCCTGGGAAGGCTCAACAACCTGAGACACTTTAAAAATGTGTTGTACACAATGTACACATTTAGTATCATTATGCAATGTCTTCTATCTGTAGTTACATATTTTAACGGTAACAATTTTAAAGCATGAGCCATATTTTGAAGGATTATTTACTGTAGGTGATTGAAAGTAAACAATGCCTGAGCTAAGCGCACGCCTGTATAAAAACCATCAGAAAACACCACAGAAACTTTGACAAAGCCAAATTAAGGTGCCATGTTTATTGTGATGGATTATCTGGCTAAGGACTTTCAAAAACATGTGGACATTATTCTTCAAACTGTACAAAAATGAGATGCTGTGAAGGGCTTCCAACTGTGCGCAGACACCAGCAAGAATGATGTGGAGCAGAGCAGAAACCTACATGATTGGCACAAACGCATCAGTACAGTAAATTCTTATAACGATGCAACAAAAGGTTGCATATGTAGGTAATGTAGCTCCAATGTAAGTTCCTCTATTGGGCAAGGGAGAGACCTTGAAATGTGATCCTCACACAGGTGTTGTAATCATTTATCACTCTACCACACACATATTGCTCTGTCTTGCCCTTCTGGTTTTTTGCTCACTCTGCCATTCCCAATGTCGAGTCATTTGTCCTGGCCAGGTGATGCTGGCTATGCCTTCTACTGTAACACATCTATTTTAAGTGTGCTATCTCTGCCCCCCCCCCCCCCCTCAACTCCACTCCACTCCACTCCACTCCACTCGCCCTCAGCTGACCGGCCATTCTCAGCCCCACTTGGCATTGAATACAGAAGAGAGGACTTCTTCCTCTGAAGGCGTGAACGGCTGCAGGCAGGATGTTTTCAGTTTATATGCAAAACAAACCAGCTCATGAAACTTTACCTGAAATGTTACAACAATAGGAAACAACAATATTCTACCTTAGTCACAAGCACAGCTCTGCCTCACTGCTTCTAAATTTGGAAAAAATTAAACGTTGCTGCTTTATATAGGCGATGTATGTGAGGTCACACGCTCAGCTGACGTCATTGGAGTCGTGTAATACAGACTTCCAGGGACACTTCCCTGATGATCACTGCTGCAGTTCATTATGTGACTGCCGGCAGTTGGAAGTGAAGTGCTGACCTACAGAATGAGAAAGTTGTCAGATTCTCCGAAGTCTGTGAACACACAGATGATGTCCTGCACTAGTGCACTCTGTTACGACTGTAGGATGGCATACACTTCTGGCTGCACAGATTAACACATTACTGCAATTTTAGACTTGCACCAATCTATTAAAAGAATGGGATATTGTTGTGTAACGATGACATTTTGGACCGGAGGAAAAAGCCACTTTTCGTTATGTGCAGTTCAAACATCCACGTCAAACTTCTGCTTGTTAGCGGACCGACAGAGCTGTTACATTTGGCTTAAACACCGTTTTATAGTTAAAGGAACAGTGTGTAACATTTAGGGGGATTAATTGGCAGAAACAGAATATAATATTCACAACTATGTTTTAATCAGTGTCTAATCTCCTGAAACTAAGAATCGTGTTTTCGTTAGGTTAGAACATAGATGTAGTCATCGTGATGTCACCATTGGTGTGTGGACGGCCGTTTTGAAGTCTTGAGTTTGGTGATTTGGCCGTCGCCATCTTGGTTTTTTTGCAACGGATGAACGGATGTTACCATATTTGGAATGTAGAGGAGTGACGTAGAGACGCCGTGTACGGCTCTGGTAGCGGCAGCGACCTATCAATCACAGTAAGCCCGCCCTAAAGCATGCTCTGCTTTATGGTCTGTTTTACTCTAAATGGAACATAGTTTAATAAATTAACATCATGTTGTATTGAAGAAGACTTGAAACTAGCGACTGAGACCATAAACTCATGTTTACTGAGGGAATAAATCAAGTGAGAAGTACAGTCATTTTCTCATAGACTTCCATACAATCTGACTTGTTTTTGCAACCAGATGAGTCGCCCCCTGCTGGTCAGTAGGGAGAATGTTCATTGTTAAACACTTCCGCATTGGCTTCACTCGAGGTTAGAAAAAGTTATTTCTACCTACATCTAAATTTTAACTAAATTTAGAGCTCTAATAATCGATTAGTGGAAACACTGCAACTACTGTGATTAATCGTTTCAGTCATTTTTCAATCAAAACAGTGAAAAAACACTAGTTCCTGTTTTCCAGCTCTTTGTTGGTCATGTACTGAAATCTGAAGTTCTTTGGGTTTTGGACTGTTTTATACAAAACAACAAAACTAAACAAGATATTTGAAGACATCAACTTGTTCTCTGGGAACTTGTGATTGGCATCAGTTTCATAGAATTAACAGTATTAATTACTCAATTACATTCATGTTGTGGATGAATACATTAGTGTTTCCCTCTAAAATGTAGTGGAGTAAGTTATGTACAAGTGCCTCATAATGTAAATGTCACCAAAACCAACTTGCTATCACTCTCAGCTTGACAGTTAAATACATTGAGAAACACTACACAACAATAAATATAAGTTACTGGTGTTTTCTTATTTGCTTCAATATATTTATGAACTAAAACAGGCTTATATATTTTAATATTCCCAGTTGACAAAAAAAATAAATTCACCTTTTCACCATTAAGGCAAATTATTCAAATATGAATTTAGCTGAAACCTATTAAAATAAGGAGGTTTGAGTCCTGTATGGACACCTGGATGCGTATCGTCCAGGGTTCAGTGCATCCTGCTGCAGGTACAGTATCTGTACAGTCTGTTCACTGTCTGTGGGCCAACAGTCACAGCGGCTACAGACATCTCACCTGCTGACTAAGCAATCCGCGCTTCTCTACTCACCGTGAGTGTATATGTTTCCGAGTTCATTGTGCAGGTAAAACAGGCTCCTGATGCAGTCGTGCACAGAGGAGATCGGCCGGTACCCCGTTAGGACGTATTTGTTAAATTGAAGATGTGGAGGTGAACTCGTCCAGTCCAGCAGCCTGGGTCCATTTAAATATGCCATAGCAAACAAGAACGTTAAAAGGACGCCGCCGAAAAAGTAAAAAACAGACTGTACACCTATATATACATACAATAAGATTATTGCCACGAAAACCTTGTGGGACACCATTGGTGGTTTTTTTAGGGTTACTATATTGTGCTGTTAGCCTCGTAGCTTTGGCGCTAGCGAGCTCACGTCCAAGTCTCTCAGCACTATACCCGGCGACGGTGTGATCAGCGCCGCCGCTGTTTGCTCTCGACCGCCGGTACCTGTGCGAGTGTCATCCGCGAGGCTGGAGACAGACACGGCCAGCCACGTACATGGCGCGAGCCCGGGACGGTCATTACATGTGGCATCGGATAAATGTCTGTGTGGCACCGGACAGCCGTGAGCGGTTGAGATGCAAAACGTTCCTCGTCATGTTAAAGCCACTTCCTCGTTAGTTAGCATTCCGGTGCAGCAGCAGCAGAAAGCACGGGCTTGAACGAGTCACCGGCGAGGATGCTGTGCGTGCGCCGCGCGTCCATCCGACTCCAGAGGATGCTAGCGTGGACCTAGCGGTCAGATTTGAGGACTAGCGGGTCATGCATTTACTTTAATGAAAGAAAACGGGCGTCATATGCTCGAGTCAGCTCCGTTTGATGCTTCCTGGCTTTCGTGACGCTATTTAAAAAAACTAAAAACAGACGAGATCCTTGATTCTGGAGCGCAGACTTTTGGGAAGGACTGCTGGCTAGCAAGCCGGGCAAGTCGGCTACCGATGTCCAGAGACTGGTGATGAGGAAGCAGATATTTGAGCCGGGTGACTCCAAACACACGCGGTCCGGTCCGTAAAGCGTGTGTTTTCTTTATTCAACATCTGTTTTATGCAATTCTTTCCAACCATTATGTCTAGCAGGCTGTATTCCTTGAAATGCAGAGTCTTTACTGGCGGCCTGTGAGTCCCCTGCATCGCCTTTACACAGGTGTCAAGCTACATAGAACAACGACGACGCCGCTTCCGCTCATTGATTTCAAAGTAAAACTCCAATTTTATTTTATTTTAAAGTTTTGGCTAGAGAATAACACATTTTTCTGTATTATTCACACCATGTATTGTATTTTATTTCATATTGCTATGCACTGTCATGCGCAATATTTCAGTTACTTGATGTTTCATGTATATAATGTCTCCTTCGAAATTAATATAAAAGTAACAAAACAGGTGAACCAATAAAAATATGGTCACAAAAATAAAGAAAACCTGCATCTATAATTTATCGATGGATTTGTTTGTTTGAGTGTCCAACAACAAATGGTGCTCAGCCCATGTGGGTTTACAAGACACTGGACTGCAACAACAACCAGCACGGCCACATGACCGATCATAACTCCCCGTATACCTGCTCATTGTTCAGCTGAGTTGCTAAACATGGTTGACTTATTAAATACACAAGATGCAGCTGATGATGCTTTTAAAGTGGCCTATGGCAAATACTTGCTTGCTACTTCATTTCTCAACTCCGGTATTCCTTCTGGAATAAGCAGTTTAGCCCTTTAGGTTTTCTTTGAGGTAATTTGATTAAATACAACTTAATTAAAGAATATGCACCATGTGAGAACAATATCAACTAAAAATCTTAAATGCAGGAATCCTTTGTAAGACAGGTCTACAAGAGTATAGGAATTGTTGATGCATGTTCTATAACAAATTTTCAATTCACCCAAACCAGCAGACCCACAGTGAACCTAGGACTATTTATTTCTGGGGCTGTAAAGCAGCTGCACACTTTGCGTACTTGATAATCCAGCTTTCTCTTTGAAAAACAAAACGAATTCAACAGACTGACTTCTAGAGAGATGATATTTTATTTTGAAGGTGAACTCTTTTAGCTTCTGGTCTTATTCTGTTTTACTTGCACTCAGCAGTCTAAATGCCAACACTGAGCTACAGCTGCCTTCAACACAGCCGTTATTTTTAGAGTAACCACCCGAGCTCTCATCCTAAACAGAAAGAACATAATTATTATTTGTAGGTTATGTAGTTCCCGTCTTTGGTGATATTCTAACTACGAAACAAAGAATATTTTCAAAGGCCTAGATGTGAAATAGTATGAAAACTATGAATATACCAGGGAATCAAAATGCTTTATAATGTAGAAGTTATGAGACTCAGATTTTAATCATGCGGAAAGTTGTCGCTGCTTCAGGTCTACAAATAGATCAGAAACATGAGTTTGAGGGTAGCGCTTAAAATGCTAGTATAGCTTGACTTATACTTCCCAACAACATAAATACTGTAATTATTGGGTCAATTTTGCTGTTATTACTGAACAAAAGCAATAGATGCACTTGGATTAAGACATTTCCGAGGAGCACATGAAGGCAGCACGTGACGCGCTGTAATCCTCTAATGGGGGAGAACTGTTGAGGATCTGTATGAATCACACCACCTTCACCTCTCACCCCCCTCTCTGCTGCTCGGAGTGTCTCACATGTAGCTGCCTTCAACCACACCTCTGTGCGACTGTGACGAACAATAGCCCCCCCCTGAACAACCCACATGACACGGGTTAATCATCATGTGGCTCACATTACAGAGCGAGTCCCAATTCTGCAGAAAGACGAGGAGGGAAGTAAAGAATAGAACAATATCTTCTTTTGTTATGTCTTCATATAATACATGTTTCATATTTCACTTAGGTCCTCTCCTACTCGCAGCGCTGCTTTTTACGTCTCCTTTGTGCTGATACAAATGTACTTCTAATGTACGAATCAATGCATTTAGCAGATTTCATTGATTGTTTTTTGTTGCCGAATCTGCAATATATTACAATTACTGTACTTTAAATGCTCTTACAACCCGTACACATCTATACTGTCCACACTGTATACATCTCACCTCTGGTGTGTTCATATTTATATTACTGTACTGCTTATACTTCTGCACTGCATTTTGCCTACATTCTGACCATGTTCACACTAGTTTTTTTGTATATATCTTAGCATACTTATATCTACCCCTTACTGTTATAAACACCTCTATACATATGTAGATTACTCTGTTTTTGCAAATGTGGTTGGGTGATAAACAGTATTTTGTTGTCACAGGAATCTGTGCAATGTCATTAAAGTTAAATCTAATCTAAAAATGAACAGTTTCTTCTCAGTTTAAAATGTTCAGACATGGCTGTATTTTGTTTGTATATTAAAATATTGATTAATTTTCTTTTCCGTGTCAGTATTTGCTTTTCTTAAAGTGGCTAAAATGTGATCTCAGCTCATCATATACAACTACAAAAATCACATTTTGCTTGCGATAGTCTTGAGAAATAGATCGTGAGTGTCGCAGTCTCCTCTTCTCATCTTTGGCCACAGCCCACCGACACTTGAGAAAATGAATGTCTAAAATGATGGTTTATGGAAACAGTCTTTATGAGTGGTTGGTCCAGTCTTTAGGTTTCATATGTTTAACAAAGCTTAAACGAGAGGGATCCAGAGAGGGTATATTTAAAAAGGGGGTAAACCTGTTTAGAGGAGAACATATTGGTTGACCAACTGTCTAAAATACTGCATTAAAGAAAAAAAAAAAAAAAAGGGGGAATGCAGTCGGGAGGACAGGTGCATGATTTTAAAAGTGTCAAACTACCAAAAAGGGATGCAAAACTATACCACAGTGGCGTGAAACTACAAAAAAAACAAAACACTAAGAGACACAAAACAACTACAAAGAGATGAAAAACTACATAAATAGACACAAAATGATCATGGAGTGATGCAAAACATACACCCAGACTTGCTTCTCAGGGCCTGATAGACAACTTTGAGTTTGTGATTAACTTGAGAAATTGATCATTATTGTGTGACAATCTCTTACAGAGTACGGCCACAGCCCACCACCACTTCAGAGAAATGATCGGTTTGTGGTCTCTGGTTCGTTGTTCACTGGAAAGTCAGCCATAGTTTCATGTTGTCTCGATCTGTTTGAGATCGTCTAGACCACCAGCTCCTCCCTCTCAGTGCTGCTCGAAATCGACGACACCTTTTCCCCCTGCTCTCTTAAAGACCACTGTCACCTCACCCCCTCACCACCTCTTAACCTGCTTTTCTGACTTTTAAAAAGGCAAAGCACTAATATTCATGCTCACAGTCAGTTTCACAAGTGCAGCGTGAACAGGCAAGACGAAGGTGAGTGTTCCCTGATGTTAAAATATTCTTTCACTTTATCTGAATATACCTCTTTGGGTTATTTAATATTGTGTCAAGTTATTAAGTATCCGGTGAACAATGTATTGGTACTTCATTGAGTAATTCTAAAGTATAGTTTAGTCCTTTCACATTTATGAGAGCGGTAGTTTGTAACATTGTGTCATCTATTATTGTAAGTCTATTTATTCACAGAGCAAATGTTGACCAAAGAGTTGTCATAGTTGTTGACTAAACGCAGTTGCAGAAAGATTGTGTTCCACAGGTTGTTGGGAAACAATGGAAAATGTTTGATTATCTTTGAATTTTGACTAAGTTCACATGAATATTAAAGAGTAATTGATCAGAACTTCTAAACAGACTAAAGAGTCTGAAATATAAACTTGTGCTAATCCATGCTGTGCTTAAAAGGAAAAAAAATCAATCAGTTCTACATTTCACTGGTCTCTATTCTAGGCGACAGTGAGAAGATTCTCTAACCACATCAGGTAAGATTTCCTGACTGACTCGCATGAAGAAAGTTACAGCAGTCGAAGAAAACATGTAAAACAGTCTTCTGATCCCTAGAAGATAGATCATGTTTATTTTCGCAACAGACCTAAACCCGTAAAAGCTATACTCATGAAAGTTTGTCAAAATTTATGGCAGATTGAAAAGTGACACCAAGACGCAATTTAGACAGAAATTTGTCTAAAATGTTGTTGTCTACAAAGGAGAGAAGCTATGAAGACACATTTTACCAATATTTTAGATAAAGATGACAATTGTGAGATTGTCCGTAAGTTATTAAAAGTAGGTCCAGATATAGAGAAGGTTTTTTTTTATATCAAAGATGCATCACTGCATGTTAGCAGAAGGATGGGACATAACATTTTGAATAAAATACTGAGCCAAAGAAATGACAAACACAAGAATTACAGAATAACTTAATCTGTACTAATGAACGGCTTCACTTGCTCATGTTTGTTCAACTGAAACGTTTATTTTTCAGAATCAACTGTCAGGTTGCATCCATCGCCGAACTTAACAGTGACATGTCTCTGTTGAATATTTGCGTCTTTGCCGGCCTCGTGCTCTCCCTCCCCCAGTGTTCGTATCAATCATGCGTAGACGGGACGCCCAAACAGTGCATGGATGCAGAATTTGCTCCAGGTACCAATTTGGCCGGGGAAGGCTTCGATATCACCAAAATGGAGCACAAGGGAGCCTTTGTGCTCAACATGAATCGGTGGAAACGCAAGGATAAAACATGCACCCTGTGCAGCAACCCCTATCTAGAGAACAAAAAGCAAAAGCTCCCGTTGTCAGTGGTGGACTGGAGAGCGAAGCATTCCTGCAGCATAAAAGTGGCCACTACACTCCACCGATCCAGTGAGGCTCTGGTCAGCTCCAGCACCTCTTCTGTGGAGAACAACTGGCAGGCCAATCTAGACGTGACTGTGGGTGAAAAAAGCGGCTCAGTGATGCTTGCTGGTACTAATTCTAAACTGGCTGAGTACTCCATGGAAAAAACTAAGAATGACAAGTTCAGCTTCGCAAGCCACAGCATGTCCTGCGAGTTCTACAGGTAAGAAGACGAGGAGTGGCAGGAACATTTTCTCCGTACACTCCCATAACTCTGAAAATCAATGCAATATTTTTTATACACTTGTTTCCTATTAGCCCGTCTTTTTTTAATCTGGTCTCATTGTGAACAGCTACAGGGTGACCGGCAATCCCATGTTGCACAGAGAATTTCAAAGAGCAGTGAAACAGCTCCCGGAAATATACAGCCCTGAACACAAGCAACAATTTTACAAACTGATCGACAACTTCGGCACCCATTACGTCACCAAGGTGAACCAAAATTATAAAAAACCATGAGCAATTTTGGAAAATGAACAAAGTAATACATTTGCTAATACACTATGTTTAAAAATATCACTCCAGGTGAAGATGGGAGGAAGTATTGAATCTGTGACCAGCATCAGGCAGTGCCAGGCCAGCCTGCAGGGCATCAGCTTGGAGGAGGCGCAGATGTGCCTGGAAGTTGAGGCGTCCGCCAGCATGAAAGTAGCTACATTGAAAACACAAGTAAAACACTGCAAGAAGGACAGTGACAAGACGGAAAGTAAGTCGTCCTTCTCCAGCCTCTTCAACGACAGGTAATTTCTCATATATTTTGTGGCCTTTTTTTGAAATACACTCTTATAAATAAATTACTATTTACAGAAGTTGCTGAAACACCTCTGTCCTCTACAGGTTCACAGAAATAAAGGGGGGGCATACCACGGACCCAGACCTTCTCTTCTCTGCTGACAAAAATCCATCGGCCTACAAAGAATGGCTGAACACACTGCCACAGAATCCAGACATAGTCTCATATTCCCTGGACTCGATTCATGAGTTGCTGCCTACTAACTCCCCTGTCAGGAAGAACCTGCGCTCCGCCATTAGCCATTACATCCTGGAGAAAGGCCTGTTGAAGAACTGCAGTAGCCGCTGCAAGGCCGGCATCAAGAGCGACCCACGGGACACCTGCGTCTGCCAATGCCACAATGACCCAGCTGTAAACCAAGACTGCTGCCCAACCCGTAGGGGCATGGCACGGGTCATCATAACTGTACAACGGGCTGCTGATCTTTGGGGAGACCACTCCACGGCCACGGACGGCTACGTGAAGGTGTTCTTCAACAGAGAGATGGTCCGGCGTTCACCTGTCTTTTACAACAACAACTACCCACACTGGGCCATGATCGTTGACCTGGGCCCCCAGGATGTGTCCTCAGGGATAAAAGTGAGATTTGAAGTGTGGGATCAGGACAACAACTGGGACGACGACCTGTTGGGAGCATGTGAGAAAGTTCTATCTGCTGGAGTCAAGGTGGATCTGTGTAACCTGCAACATGGCCAGCTGTTCTACAAATTGGAGGTGACATGTGCTCCGAGTCTGGGCGGAGCTACATGCACCGATTATAAACCTTCGCCTATAAGTCAAAGTCTGAAGAAGTTGTACGTGTCTCGTCACGCACATCCTATTCCAAAGGCCATCCTGTTAGAGATGGGCGTGTTTGTGAATGAAACAAGCTCACACAGGAACCAGAGTCTTACTGCTGAGATTTCAAAGTTTGATGTGATATAACATCCGTGTTTGGCTTCACTGATGCTCACGTAGCCAAATCAGTCTTTGTATAGGTGCATCTATAAAGGTTATTGAAATAAAACTTCACCCGTAACTGGCATCCCTTGTTCATTTTCTGCTGATTACAAAGAATGAGAAGTTTGTCTGTTGGGGAAACATGTTTCATGTTTTGACAAATCGGCTGCAACTCAACTATGTAAAATGCTCAGTTTTTGTTTCAGTGTAATTTACATTTAAGTCTGCTAACGGTTGTGTATGCATGTGTTCGACAGAAGAAGATTGTCAATGAAGTCTCTGAGAAATTGACATCAGCAAGCAAGACCCAGATGACTGAAATGTATTGCTAAAATGTTGAAAACATTTTCAAAATTTTAATGAAAGCAGTGGCAGAAAAGATAGTTGTTTTAATGTACTGTGTCTGTGTATTTGTATCATAGATACTGGCCTTGTCTTTCACAGCATATGCATCTAAAAGTTCTTGCAGCTTTCAAAATGCGAGTTTGATTTAGTGCAGCTTTTTCTTGTTAATGTATTCATGCATCATTCTTTACATAAAATAACATGTTTGCAGATTGTACACGTGCATTTGTTGTAGCATTTTATCATCCATATATACAATATCATATTCTTTTGAGTCATTTTGACAGGATGTTTGTTTAACCAGAATAAAAGCATAATATCTGGACTGTGCGTGGTATTTGATGTTTCATCTCACCATCATACTTTTGGTTTTGTGTTGAGTTTGTCTTCGGCAGTGTTGCCTGACATGAGAAAGGAAGTGGTAAAACTTCCTGTGCACAGATGTGGGCTTCGCTGACGCTATTGCAAAGAACAATGTGTGCATGTTTTTACTCAGAAGCATTCAGCATCATTTGACACATCCTTTATTGGATTAAAACAGTATTTTAATATATATTTCAAAACATTGAGGCACATTTCTTGCACTTCACAAACATTTATGTTCATCAATCCCCACCAATTTGTTCAGTGTTGACAGAATACGACTGGTGGGTTACAAACAAGACAAATGTCCACTTACAGAAAAAAAGACATGAAGGTTAAGAAAAATAGAGCAAAAGACAAAACAGACAACACAACATGGCTGAAACACACAAAAAGCTTTAAAAACACATTACACTGAACACATTATGGAAATGATCCACTTGAAGAAGTCCAGGTCAATTGAATTAGCCTGGTTAAAGACAGAGACAAAGAGGCCAGGGAGGAGGGAGGACACAAATTTGATTGGTTGATGACAAACACAAGAGCGCAGCGGCAATGAATCATCGAATTCCTAACCTTGGTGGAAGCTTTTATAGTTTTATGATTTTTCAACTGGACCTTCATGCACCAGTTGTAAACCTTCCTTCATTCTCACCTTTGTATCCATTCCTAAGGGCACCGTTCACGTCGCCATATTTGCCAGTTTGCTCTCCTGTGAAAGGATCAAACCCAGACCAATGTCATAAATGTGCTCAGAAGGAAACTGCAGCAGCAAGAAAAAGAGGTTTGACTGCTCGGTGAAACCTTGCAACAACAACGAGTTTGGACTTTATTAGAGGACTTAGGCCATTCACTTTGCAGGCCTTATACCCTTGAGTGGAAAATAATCCATAATACATGTAGTTGTATTTTTGGCGTGACAGCAATTTAAGTAAAAGTACATGTTCATTGCATGTAAAAAAAAAAAAAAACTCGGAGTACAGAGTTTATTTTCCAAAAATAGCTGTACCTCGTTTCTTTCACTCTCCGAAAAAATGTGTATGTTTGAACAGTTGCACAGTAATATTTAGACACGTGCAAAACTGCAAAAATAATTAGATATGACAAATATGTGCAGTACACTCTGTGCTGCCACTGTACTATTATGCAAGAAGACATGGCTAATGATGTGAGTGGAAGTTGATCATAAATGAGGAAGTCTGTGTGTTTCTTGCTTACCCAAGGCATCTTGAGTTGCTCCTAGCTGTGCACCGTAACCTTATCAAACACAAGCAAACATTTTTACAACACACAAAATACATTCATGATTTTCATCACTTTGCTGATTTCAGGGGTAGCTGGGGAAATGTGCACAGATGAAGGGTACACTTAAAAATGTAAATCTCAATAATTCAAGACAAACCAGTACTAAAAATACTAATGAGTACTGTCATGCTCATCCAGCCACCTCTGAATTGCAATGTCATGTGCTGGTGTGACAAAAGACACAGTAGGGGTGTTGTGCAGTGTGTGAAAGTCTGTGTGTGTGTTTATTTAGGTGAGAGAATGCATGAAAATACACCTGTTTGCTGAGCGCCATATCCTGCTACAGCTCCTGAAACAACACAAAACATGTAGATAACTCGACTTCAATAGGGCGCGTCATGACAAAGAGAAATATTGTAAACAAAGACACAGCTCAGCCGCAAAGCTAATCTTACCTCCGATCATGAGGCATATATCTGGTGTCTGTCTCATGGTGAACAACTCATGTGCTTATTTTTTGTGTTCTTAACTAGCATTGTTATGTTTTCTCCATTATCTTGTTTGACTGAGGGTTGCAACCTCAGTGGGTTTATCACACCCTGCTGCTTTAGAGAAACAGCCAAACTGTTATTTTTCCATCAAACAGTTTTTCACACTTTATAGTTTTTTACACTTTATAGTTCTCTCTCACACACACACACACACACACACACACACACACACACACACACACACACACA